TAGTCGGCACCGGTGTTGCGATGCGTGCCCCTCACGGGACTTATGCGCGAATTGCACCACGAAGCGGGTTAGCGGTCAAAGGGATCGACATTGGCGCAGGAGTAGTCGATCGTGACTATACCGGAGAAGTACGCGTATTGATGATCAACTCCACCGATCAAACTTTCCAAGTACACGCTGGTGATCGGATTGCTCAAGTAGTTTTGGAACGCATTGCGTCATGCGATATCGAGGAGGTGACAAGTTTGACGAAAATGCAGCGAGGAACGGGAGGTTTTGGATCCACTGGTAAATAATCGTGAGGACACGATTCTAGACGGGGGGGTAATGTCATGAATATTACGCATTCCGGATGGTTCTCCCGGATTCCATAGCATTCTTTTACTTTCTATACACCTCCGTATATTCGTAAGATATTCTAGGTATTGAGTCTGACATGTATATAAGGAGCTCACACTGCTCAATAACAAGCCAGACTCGAGCTGGTCTTTACTCACTCACATTCCTCTCGTCTGTCTCCTCAGCATTGTCGTAGCTCAGTCCAGCTGGATTATTAGTTGCTGACACAGAAGAGACCCGTTGGACAGCATCGTCCGGCAGAACCGTCATCGTTCTGCATCTGTCGATGCCCCGAGTGCATTGGAAGCGTAGCATGGGATCCAGGACTGCATGCATTTGTTGCAGGCAGGACACTAGGCCGTCGCGAATATCTAGAGCACTACCGGCTCCACAACCGCGACGCACTCGAGACCAATGCAGGCCCCGTCAGCGACCCTCCGGTACCACCGGCTAGTGGTCATCCTCTTCGCCACACAATGCCCCAGAGTTCAATTCCACACGTCAGTACACAGGCAGCGACGACGAGGCGCACCAGGTCCTCTGTCGAAGCTGCTCACATTGGTTTCCTGGAAACAATGACGACAAATCTTGTGACGCGCCGCGCTACCATTGCAACTGTGGATCGAGAGGAATTAATTTTTGCTTTCCCTCCAAATCCATATGAGAAGATCACCATTCCTCTGCGGCTATCTTCTGAGGTCAACACCGGGCCATATTCTCTCGAATTCGGCCGAGCGGCAAACCGAGAAGTACTGGAATACGAGATGTGGCTGGCAGCTGCAATGTCTCAGCTGGGCAATGTGAAAAGTGCGCGTCCAGCAGTGGAAAGCCGCATGGCAGAGTTAGTCTTGGAAGTGCAGAGTGGGCTTGATGCGGTGGAGATGCTGAAGCAGGACGAGTGGCAGCGGCGCTGCGATTTACAAGCTAGAGCACGCGGATATTTGAAAGAGGGCAAAGTTCCTGTCATTGATACATGTATGTCTCTCTCCCGCCTCCTCCGATTTTGTGCAGCTACTGAATTGGATTTTCAGCTCCTTACTTTGTCCGACCCTCCATCGCAGAGGACAATTTATCGTTATTTGCTCAGCTCATTGCCGCTACCCTATTCTTGCTCTGCAACCTATCAATCGCTCGTTGCTCTTTTATCTTGATGAGCCTCCGCCACTATGCCTCAATGGCCCTACATGAAGCTAATCTACCTCTCGATTTGTTCGGGCCTGCTGCATCAGACGTCCCGCACGATGTGAGAACTATCGTGGACGGCTTGAATCTGAGGCCAAGCGCGGTCGGATTCTGCTGTTGCCCCAAGTGTTTCTGCTGCTACCCTATCGACGACTTTCCCGAATTCTGCATTCATCAGGAAGCACACGACACTCCACAATGCGGCAAGGTGCTCAGACGCGTCATGAAGAACAAGATATATCCCACACGACGCTATCTGCACCATGACCTGAAGCAGTGGGTTGGAAGACTAATGCGCCGCCCTAACATGGAGACTCTTCTTGACCGGGATGTCTTCGATACGGGTGCGAAGCCTGGAGAGATGAGAGACATCTGGAATGGGGAAGTGCTCCGTCAGTTCCAAGGCGATAACAAGAAGTCCTTTATAGACGGTCCGAAGGGGGAGGGACGTCTTGTATTCGCTCTTAACATGGACGCATTCCATCCTTTCCAGAACCTGGCCCACGGTGCTACAAACTCATCTACAGCAATCTATCTAGTATGTCTCAACCTCCCACCAGACGTCCGCCATCGCCTTGAGAACGTTTTCCTCGTTGGAATCATTCCGGGACCTACTGAACCGTCACTCACCCAAATCAATCACTTTCTTAAGCCGCTTGTCGACGATTTAGCCGTGTTCTGGGATCGAGGAGTCTTTTACACTTGAACTTTCAAACATGCGAAAGGCCGTCTTGTACGATGCGCTCTAGTTCCTGTCGTATGCGACACGCCTGCCGCACGACAGATCATGTCCTTTGGAAGCCACGGTTCCACCCACTTCTGTCCTTACTGCAACTTGACCATCCGCGATTTGGACAACCTAGACATGGCCACATGGCCGCCTGGAGTAACACGGGAAGAGTTTGTTACCTGCGCAAACCAGTGGAAAGGCGCTTCTTTATCGGAGCGCAATAGGTTATTCGAACACCACGGCATCTGGTACACCGAGCTACTCAGGCTATCCTACTGGGACCCGGTCAAGTTTGTCGTCATTGACAGCATGCATGCACTTCTACTTGGGAACTTAAAAACTCACTGTCGAGGATATTGGAGTATGGATGTCAAGGTTGACGATAAGGCCGTTGATCAAAAGCCCCCAAGAAGAGATCCGAACCCGGATGCCTTCGAGATGAAACAGGCATGGGAGCTCATGTGCAACGGCACCAAGGACGAGATTGGGAAGCTAAAAGATAAGGTACTGAAGCAGTTATGCAAGGATGTTCATCTGCGCTCCGGAGCTAAAAGGAATGGTCTTCTGGTGGGATTGCATAAATACGTAAGCCTGTCCTGCATTTTTTTGGGCAGCGCTGACAGGTATCTTGTAGAGGCAAGATCAAGGCTGGCTTCGTGAAGACGGCTTGCTGATACATCCTCACCCCCCTAAGCCGAAAAGGAAGGATCCCGTCACAGAAGAGGAGATAGAATATGCGCGCCACGAATTTGATGTCACACCGTCAATAAAAGCCGTCTCCTCAAAACTCCGCAAGGAAGTCGTTGTACGCCTGGCCGAGTCTCTTGCTGATAGTCACTCTCAACTTGCGGAGGAGTTTTCTGGCCGGTCATTGCAGAGCATGACGAAGTCGGAGATTACTGAGGTGCTTTCTACATATGTAAGTCCTGGTTTCTCTGATTGATCTTTCGCTAAGTGGTTCCTCTCTTCAGCGCGACTCGATCTCATCAGTTCACTCGCTGCCTACGGCCACAGCGAGGCCTAAGGCTGTTCTAGGGACGAATAACCTGTCAATTGTTCATGAAGATATCGCAGCTACAATACTACCATCGTGGATAGGAAGAGTCCCTGGTAACCTGGGCTCGGCGAGCCACAGGACTCTATCAGCTGACGAGTGGCGTACAGCTTGCACGGTACACCTCGTTACATTCACTGTTCGACTATGGGGTGCGGCATCGTCCTCAAGGAACGAGCGCACGATGCTCGAGAATTTCATGCCTCTGGTGAGGGCCACCAAGCTTGCACATATGCGTATCCAGACTGCTTCACGCATCGAAGAGTATCTCCAGAGCATGAAGCTTTACCTCGACGGTGTTATACGTCTATACCCTTCGATGTCTCTGATGCCTAGTCACCATCTCTCTCTCCATTTTCCTCGTTTCCTCTGTCTCTTCGGACCTGTTCATGCCTGGAGATGCTTTCCGTTTGAGCGGTATAACCACGTTCTGCAACAGGTAAACAAGAACGGGAAGTCCGGTGAGTAGCTCATAATTGTGGTGGCTCTTGCTGACTGGTACACATATCGTGTAGGCGAGCTGGAGATTACCATGTTCGAGAACTTTTGCGCAGGGCAAGAGATTCGCGCCTTGATGGGCTCGGAGATGCTGCCCGAGCCTATCATGAGGTGTATGGGCCCAGAGTTTGAGCGCGTCTTTGGCAAAGACAGTCGGGGAACGCTACTCAACGATATGCTCGCGTTCCGCGAGGAGGCTCAGTTCGAGCTGCAGAACACTACTGACTACACACGGCTGGGACGCGATCTGGAAGCCAATCTACGACAACTGTTGTGGCAGGACGGTCTCATTATCACCCAGGCTCGCACCATCTTAGGAGAGGATGTGCTGCTGCAGCAGAGTATAACGCGACGAGGAGTGCGATTCTGCTCCAAGTCATCCTCCGTCGGCGACAGTCAAGTCGTGTTCGGCGATCTCTCGACCGAAGCATGGGCAGCAGGCAATATCAGAGAGATAATTGTCTGGCCTTGCCAGCTCCAAGGGGAGCAAGTCGAGTATCACTTTTACGCGATCATTGAAGTACTTCACCAGCTGTCTGCAGAGCATGCTGCTCTCGACCCCTACCGCGCTTACTGTCCTAGCGCAGGACGGCCTCTACTACAAGCAGAGTACTGTCAGGTTAATCAGCTTTCAAGACATCATTTGTCATTACGCTTACATCCCCCGGCCTACTGGACACACCGCCATACCTCAGGATTGTGTTCACGTCTTGCCATTAGATCGAGTAAGGGGCTCTTCCGATCACTCACTAAGTAAAGCATCGCTCATAGACTTTTTCCAGGATTGAAAGGGGTGTACAACACGATGCACCGCAAGGATATTGGAGAAGAGAAAGAATAAGAGCTGTCAGGATGCCTTCGGGGTTGCCGGTGACGACATGCGACACTACTTAGCGCGATAGGCTCTTGGCCTATTATGATGATGATGATGAGCAAACGCTATGCTTTGTAATTCGGTTTATTTTACTTAATTAGCTCAGTAGTTTAGTGGCTAGCGGGTGACTAGGGAACACATTTGAGCTTGAAGCATTGGCGTGAAGGGAGGTGCCAACCCTGTCCCAGTAGCGTGCGGCGTCGGCTTATCCTTGGCCAAGGAAGAGATGCCCATCTGCCGCGGTTCTCTTTGTTCCTTCACCAACTCACTCCTTCTGACGCGACAGCATGGCTATACAACTATGTCTCCTACGAGCTTCCTCTCGACTACCCCAGATGGTTAGCCAGCACGTCTCTCCAACAAGAGGCAATTTGGTCCGTCTTGTCGCCAGTCGGCCGTCTCGGGCCTCGCTCAAGTGCGAGAAAGAACTTCTTGTGTTTCACCTCACCATACTCTTTGCGCTCAGGACATTATAATTATAATTACGACCGGTGCGTTTACTTCTATTTCTAACTACAGAAATGAACCAACTTCTGCTCTCAGGCTTACAAAACCAGCCGCTGGACGTTGTTCCCTCTCGTCGCCGCTACAATTTGTGTCTATGGGCTGATTAGCTCTGCACTCATGGCTCAGTGGTGGATCCTGAGCTCCGCTATGATCAAATTTTTGGCTGGCTCGTTACCATCGAAGCGTTGTTTGATAGCTTCGTCGATGTTGTTGCGAGCCTCCTCCTACGCCATGACCCTGGTAAATCCCGACGTGAGCACGCTCGCAATCGCTCTACAAAGTGACTGTGTACTGGGCTGCGTACGGATGCCTGTTATCTGGTCACGAGCAGGCATGTGTTTTGGTACAACAGACGCTTTATCGGCTCCACTGGAGGCTGTGTACCTTCTAGAGATATAACAGGGCGGCATCAGTTCTCGTGCCAAGACAGGCCATTCTCTCATCCGTTAGAGCTACTAGGAGGGGGAAGAGGTCAGGCGAGGATAGGTTAATCGTTCGATGTGGCTGACGGGATGCCACACGACCGTGCACGCTAATTTCCTCGAAGATGCGTGCTAGTGATTTGATCACGGTCTACGGACGGCAAAGTTCTTCCTTGAGCTCGAGCCACTTCAGGCGGCGAAGTTCAGACGAATGCTTTGACAGGGCCCTCTTGCACATCATACAACTCATTGCATAGCGGGGTGTATACATAGTGCCTCATATTTTGGAATAAAGTAACATATTCATGCTTATGATCATAGTAAAATTGTCAAAAGCCACCAGAGACTGAATTCCTAGTGCGAGTGGAATAGATGCATAGACATAGAGACGATCACGGGACTGGGGTGGTGAGAATAACGGAGTTACATGCAAGTCAAGCAGATAGGGAGGGGGGGAGAGGGGGGAGGCTATCTCGCAGAATGTGCGACACAAGGATATTGAGAAAGGCGGAGAAGAAGAGCATGAACAGAAAATTCAAAAACCTTCTACCCTGTCAGAGTAAATGACAGGGGACTCAACGCCCTCTGACCAAGTACTGAAAGGTGACCCTGCTGAGTCGTTGAAGGTGTGCAGATCTTCGCCAAGCAACTCGAGCAGCAGTTCACTGTCTTGGTTCTCAGGTATGCCAAGGGTATGATCGACTCTGGACGAAGAATTGACCTGGGTAGTGGACGCAGAGCCTGGCCAATGGAACCCATGCACTCCGAGGAGATCATCAAACTGATTAGGTCCGCAGCCTGCTAGAGAGAGGCTGCTGTCGAGAGTTGCGTCACTAAACATCTAGAGAGCATATCAGTAAAAACAGAGTCGTGAATTGTGCACATAAAGGAGCTGACCCTGTTGTTTGCTATCTCAACACCAGCAGTGAGCAGCTGTTGGGGCGCGTGCGAGGCTGAGGTTTGTCCTGCAGTAGAGGAGTCCTGGATTTGAGTGAGGCGTTGTTTCAGCTGTATGTTGTCAGACTCCAGCTGAGTAATAAGCTGATGAAAGAACAGCTCATACTGCAGTCCTACCACTGGCGGCACGGAGAGGAAGGATGCAGAATCCAACAATGTAGGGAGGGAAGGCGTCAACGTCCACAGTGATGTGGTCGACTCCATGGAAATATTGCCGGCGTGATGCGGCTGGGTGAGGTCAGGAATAGTCAGACTGTCCGAGCTATCGTTGGGGGAGACATCTGTAATGCCTAGAGTGTTCATTGTCTGATCTACAGTAGCCAGCTCTGCAGCCGAGTTCCCCGCAGATATACGGGATGAGAGCTGGAGCCTGTAGTTGGGGAAAAGCATCTGATGCAGATCGGCCGCCTCCTTCGCCTTCAGAGTCCATTGCTGCCGCACGTAATTGGGCAGGCTCGACCAGGTGTAACCGGCAGTAATGCTCGTAGCCCGCTGCTCATTCCGCTGATCGAAGCGGCGCAGTTTGTTGTGAGACAGGAACGAGCGGAAAAGTAGGAAGGTGTTGATGGGACGGAGGATATGAACACGCGAGCCGACAATTCGAGGCTGAGGCTGGGGGACTTGGTAGTCTACAGGGAAGAGGAACTCCGCAGGGCGTGGAATGTGATAGTTCTGGTGCTTAGCCTGACTCAAAGTGCTCGAACTACGCAGAGAAGGGCGAGAAGATCTGGAAATTCTGTATTTGGAGTCAGTCGGCGATGCCAGCGACGACTCGGAAGGCGAATCCCTATGAAAGGAAGCCATGCTAGTGTGCGGTAGGCCTAGATAACCAAGTGAGCATTACATGCGCCATAAAACATCCTACGCAATGGACTGACCTGAAGGAGGGTTTGAAGATGACAGTTGCAGTTGAACTTGCTCAGCGGCGCAGGAGGAGGGACAAGACTGAGGTTCGTTGTTGACTCCACCGCCACTAGTCCTTATACACCCATGCCTCGTAAATTGAAGCTCTGCAAGTGTCGAATGCTTGGAAGGACATCCGCCACTGCCGTCACTGGGTGCACAACCGTCGGGTAAAATAATTTGGTTATGTGCGGGGCCACAAAAGGGGAAGTAGCTCGCACCTTGATCTTGGATGACGGCGGCACTAGTTTGTTTGTTTCACATGGAGTGACTAGCATCAGTCTGGAGGGGCTGCAACGCATGAAATATCTGGAGATGATCTCGAAAATACTTGATATTCCGAGCAAAGGATGTTCTGAATCGCAAATCAAGCGCAGTGCGCAGATGGGCAAACTTACAGTAATGATAGAGCTGGGCCAGAATGCCATACGCGCGAGTAGGCCTCTGTGATAGTCTCTACGTTCAGCTGCAGGTGCGGTCGAGTCTGTCACCCTGCAACAAACAGATGCCCATGCGGCTCGTTGTCTGAGACCATCTGGTACCCGTGTGTACAGCGGCATGCCAACTGTGGTCCTGCGGCAATGGGGTTTTCTCAGTTGGGAACTCGCAAATATCTTGTTGACGTTGTATCCGGGACCACGGAGTGGAGAGGACAGATGAGCTAAGATATTATTAGGCTCAGCCCTTGCAAATCATGCAAGGGATCGGAGACGTACAGTGAATATCACTGCACTACATAGAGCTTGAGGTAAGGGCTTCTGTCTTACTTGTCGGTCCTTGCCTCGGGTGGGGGGTGTATAGGCTAGATTATGATTGGGCTGGCTCTGCTGAGTATTCTGATACCAAGAAGCAAGAGTGGACTTCAAACTTTTACGCAGGTATTGTTCCATTTTTCTAATCTCATTTTTTGTTCAAGCCTTTGCGGCTATCCGAAGTTAGACCCGTCTGTGCTCTGTGGACATCTTGTACCCCATTTCGCAAGAAACTGGCGTGGGAAAGCCTCCTTGTGGATCAATTGCAACCGATCGCTGCCTTGATCATGATGACAACATGCACGGCGTACCATGCTGATTCTCCTGACCAAAATAGGTGCTCGTTCCCTTATCTGGGATTCAGGCTGGCCAAACTTCCCATAACCACAGGGCAAGCACGGAGGGCATCAATTGACCAATAAAGTGCTCCCTAGACCGCCAAAATACCCAGGACCGACTCGTTTCTAATCTTAAACAGGATTTATGCAAGCACCCTAAGACATCAAGCACATGTTCCACACAAAATATCAGCATTCCGCATAATTACTTCTAAATAGCGTATTTTGTTGTGTACATACCGGCCCATAAAGCCTAATACATGCACCCAAAAGGCTCGAATCCCACCCAATACTGATCTTAAAATACAACTACGCAAGCGCCCTGCTGGAAGCGTTCAGCTCGATAGTTGCGCCAAATGCTGGTGCATCCTGCTCGTCCTGCTCGTCAGCTCCTTTGGAGAGAGAAAGTGTGCGCGAGGACACGCACCTCGCAAGCTGTTCCTTGCCCGCATGCTCTGCGCATCGGTCAACAAGTGCAACTAAGTCCTGAATACAAAGCCTGTGAGTGAGCAACACGACGACTGAACTGTACAGTTACGGTGTATATCAGATGTCATGTAGGATTGCGATATGTTTGAGGGAGTAGCGTGTCCGTTGAGAGAATATGTTTAACAAGGATTTGTGCATGGACAATGGATAATCGAGCACATATATGCAGACCACACACCTTATATGTATCTGTGTAAACGAGATAACAAGACCATGAGCCAGAGAATCACACAGACAATTATGTACAAACCTCATATATGCGGTTAGTTGGCCATACCGTCAGTCACCCGACGCTGACGTGATGCCAGGCGCAGCGGCGCTTTTGCTGTTGAACGGCACGTACGGGTCTAACCAGCGAGAGCGGGCCGCTGTCTGTGCCACTGCGCATGATGTGCACGCGATTCAGCTGTCCCAGCGCGCACGAAAAATTATGTCGGCAGGAGGAAAATGTGCATGGCGCGGAGGGAAGGAGAGGCGTACGTCAAGGCAGTACAGATGCAGGAGCCTGCAATCGGGTCGCAGAATGGCGTTGAGCAATTTGTGGGCGCTGTGATTGTGGTGTGATGGTGGTGATGGCAGTGATGATGGCATCGTGGCGGTGGCTGTTGGCTGTTGCAGCAGTAGCGGCACAGAGGCAGGAAGAAGGAGGGTGTCCGCTTGATGAGATACATCGAGAATGAGTGTATGGGAACGAACCTTTGACTTATCTCTGAAGAGTCTACATAGAGGTGAGGACAGCGTGTGTGACGTGACGTCACCACTGAGATCTAGGTGAGCAGGTGATGGGAACGGAATTATATTGACATACCGGTCTGAGCTAAGGTTGCATTGCATTACCAGGCCTGTACTTGCACTGCCAACGTCCACAGACTGTTAGGTGCTTATATAGTAACCCTTCTCTGATATCTACGGCTGATTTGATGGCCCGCCTACTCGTGGATCTTACAGTCGGAAATGCGGCCACATACCCCCTGAAGATTGTGATCTAGTAAGTACTGGCGGCGTAAACATAGGACACATGAATGAATTCACTTTCAGTAGTCCCTGGCTATTTACCCTACGGTAGACAAGCCCGGGCTTGGGTCGGGCTCTGGCTCGGCTCTGGCTTAACGTTCAGGGCTTGGCTTGACGCCGCCACAAGCCCGAGCCGGGCCACTGCCGGGCCCGCACATCACTAGCGGGTGGCGCCGGATACTCGCTTCTTGTCCACATCTACACAAGGGAGCAAAGTATAAGTTAAAGGCAGCGGTGACCAGGCTCTATAAGAGAGGCCGAATTCAAGCTTCAAGTCTCATCCTCAAGATTGCGCCCCCAAAATAATACCCTCCAGTAGCTCGCCAGTTATAGCAGCAATATATGCGCATGTCTTTATCTCATAGCCCGTACGGCGCGCCTGACAAGTACAGGAGCAAGCGCAGTGTTCGAAGCCTATTTCTGCACGTATTGATGTCCACAGCGGCGCGTTCAAGGTACGGCGTCGTTTGTTGTACTAGCTACATCTCTAAGCACCATGCGGTGGTCTTATAAAACCTGGCTGCGGTCCTGAATGAGCGAGCAGTACGGGCTGTTCTGTTGGTGCACAGCATGAAACCAAAGCAACAGCAAGTCAGGCACCACACAAGTGTGTACGATATCGGTCAGAAAAGAAAGGGCTACTCTTGGGTTGCAATAGTAGCGGGTGGACTTCCTCCGAGGTTTGCTGGACCGTGGCCCTGAGTCGAGCTGCTCCAGTGTTCGGTATCGGGAGGGGTTTTTTTTTAGCTGTGTTAGTAAGGCTTTACATGCGACAGTAGAGTTCGGAATGTGAAGTGAGGCTGTCAGAAAACCTGCTGGTAGATGGTGATGAAAATTGGGCAACGTCTCAGAGAGTGCAGGCCGTAAACTTGCCGTGAAGGTAGCATCGTCGAAGATTATTTGCAGAAGGACACGATAGGCGGAAGCTGTGACGTGCGAGGCGCTGAAGGGCATTTAATCTCAGCTGTTTCATGCTTGAGTAGAGATGGAGGTGAGTAACGTGCAGACGCGCTAGATATATCGCCACGGTCGTGCAGACGATATAACGGTAGCCAACAGTCTGGGAATCAAGCTTGACGGCAACTCCAGAGCGACTTGAGCATGGTACTACAGCAGAACAAAGCTGCTGCACGTAAGGGAAAAGGTCTGACCGAGCGATGGCACTCACACTCATTCAAGGCAGGCTCACATAGAGAGATGCGACATACCCTGATACGTAGACCATGATGATGAACAGACAAGTAGTCAAGAGCCTGTAGCTATAGAGAACAGATGAACTGAAGCTGACTACGCGGCATTCAGCGCTTTGTATCGATTGCGGCTCCACGGCGCATGCTTAGATCGATGCAAGGAAATGAGTACCTGTTACAAAAGCGAACAGAGAGGGAAGCCATACCTCAGCTGGTTTTCCAAAGATCTACTACCTGTGCACTTCGTCCGTATATGATATCTTCGGCCAACATCTTCCACAGAATATACAACACAGCCATGGATGTAATAGTCCACAGCGCATACAACATGTACATCAGCCTCAGGTATGGCTGGGAGTGTCGTACCAATGGGAAGTCCAGCAAATTTACAACCTGTGGAGCACACCGTCAGCTATCACGCCCCCATGATAAAAAGTGTAGCACTGACATTATCTCTATTCCGCTTTTCTTCTCTGTCAAATACACTCGCAGGGGGGCACGAGATAGATCTCCTACGGCACAGAAATCTTCTGCTATGCCTGGGTCTGCGCCATGGCTGGAGTTCCAAAGTCGCTATGGTGTCAATCGTATCGTGTATTTCTTGTACCTTGCGCTGGACATTGATCTGACAACATAGTGATATGGTTTTGAACAGCTGCACAGGTTGAACCTATGCTCAGTGAAAGATCGCACCTGTTCAAGTCGACAAAAGCATTGCATGGTGAGCAGAGACCGCTGAAGCCTCTCGCACTCGTTCACTCTATCTTGGAGCTTCAACATCATTGTAAGTGTATTTTCTGCCGCCTTGCAAAGTGTGTTTAATTGGCTGTGGGTACGCCAGCAGAATGGCTCCTTGCCCTCTGCGGCCGCATTAGCATCTAATTCGAGCCTGTGAGCGCGTACTTTGCACTCACCTTGGTTCGGGGAGAAAGAGCTATGTTATTACATGAAGTCAGAGCCGATATTGTGACCAGATATTTGAAAGTGCTCACCAGGATACCCAATTTCCTCCAACCTCCTCGAGATAGCCCAGTACGGTATGTGCATCAACCATCTCGACTCTCCGTTGCAGATAGCTCAAATGCCAAGAGCATATACCATCCAAAGGATGAGCAGATAAAAAAATGGCTATCGGAGCGCAAACTTCGGCCGCTGGTACAAGGGGCTCATCGTCCACTAGTACTGAAGTTGGGTGCTGGAGAAAGAGAGTCCGGAGGTATGTTATCCGGACTCCAGAGGAAACGCCACTCGCTGTGGCACACACTTCGCTCTTCAGATGAGTAGTGGCCATGTGACCCAAGTTATAAGCTGGTAGGTTCGTCCTTGGCTTGGACAGCGAGAGAGGGAAGGAGCAGAATATGATGGGCTAGGGAGCTTATGATTAATCCGGACCGAAACGCTAGTTTCACAACACAGTGCCTGCGTTCACTCACATTTGCTGAAGCGCCGACTGTAACCCTGTGGTTACACCGTGACTGTTACCTGTAACAGTTGTATTGTGTTCTGCGCACCTTCGTCGTATTCTCCTTAGCTCATACCGCAACGACGAAGGTATGTAGACCTACTCATGTATTATACACTGAGCTCATACCACAACGACGAAGTCTGTTCCCTTTCAAAAAAAGTGGAAACCGATTGCAGTCGGAAACACTCGAACGGTAAGTGGCCTGTTCCTGCCTCTATATCCGATGTTCGAGCCTTTCTAGGCCTCATGCGATATCTGGATAGATTTCTCCCACGACTTGCAGTATACACCCGAGTACTGACTCTCCTCACCTCGAAAGAGGCCGAATATCATTGGCCCGGCTGGACAACTGAACACCAGGATGCCTTCAACCAGATTAAGGCTCTGGTCGTATCTCGTGAGTACCTCACTGTGATTGACCACACTAATATGGGCGAGAACAAGATCTTTGTGTCTTGTGACGCAAGCGATTGGCGTACTGGTGCAGTCTTATCGTACGGCCCTACGTTGGAGACCGCATGACCAGTCACCTACGACTCCATGCAACTCAGCAAGGCAGAACTGAACTACCCGGTTCATGAGAAGGAGCTTCTCGCAGTTGTTCGCGCCTTGGAAAAGTGGTGTATAGACCTCTTGGGTGCTCCGTTTGTTGTGTACACGGACCACCGCCCACTGAAAGACTTCAAGACCCAGAAGAATCTGTCGCGCAGACAGGCTCGTTCGCAAGAATTCCTCGGCCAGGACGACTACGACGTCGAATATATTTCTGGCGAGGAAAACACGGTTGCCGATTCACGATCTCGACTCCCCCTTGACGACACTCCCACATTGCTTCCTACTGCTTCGGTCACCACCTCCTTGCGTATCACCACCAATCCACTCTGGCTTGACAGAATACGGCGTGGCTATATGAACGACCCCTGGTGTCAACGGCTATGGGCCGATGGCATTACCATTGGATTTCGCGAGGAGAACGGTCTCCTCTACATCGGCTCCTGGCTTCTCATTTCATGCATCAAAGATTTCCGAGAACATCTCTTCCGCCTTGCTCATGACGCCCTTGAACACTTCGGCACTGATAAATCTTACGCTGCGCTACGCGACTCCTACTACTGGCCCAACATGCGCAAGGAACTCGAAGAGTCTTATATCCCCTCGTGCGCGGACTGCCAACGCAACAAGAGTCTTACGCACAAACCCTCCGGTCCTCTACATTCTCTTTCGGTTCCAGACCGCCGCGGCCAAAGTGTAGCCATTGACTTCATTGGACCACTTCCGGAGGACGACGGTAAGAACTCTACCGTGACGATGACTGACCGGTGCGGCGCAGACATACGGATTGTTGCCGTCCGAGTGTTTCCGACTGCAGTCGGTTTCCACTGACTTGCTAGACGTCAACGCAAACAACACACGACAGCTGATGCGCAGAGCGAAAGTAGTCACAGAAAAACTACTGTAAAAGAGCCTGTAGAGTGCGTATGCCAGCTCGAGACCATTCGTTACATGTCGCCTTTCAGCTAAAGCTGCGTATAATATTCAAGGGAGCAACATCATTTTTCTACTCAGATGTTTACGCATCTTCCACAGCCTTTCCCACAGTCACCCTGCGCAGTCAGACATATCAAGCTGGTACCGAGGCTCTCTAGCCTGCTTATGAGCTCTTTAGTCTTAGAATTTATGATCTCACTGTTCGAGCCAGGTCTCCGTAGTAAGCATGAAAGGTAAGATATAACACTAAGTTGTACATTATACGTGACGCTGGTTAAAGATTCTGGCGCGGTTTAACTGTTCTTTACCTCCCTGTGAACTGCATACTTACCATCACCCTTTACAGGACTGCCGTCACGGTGCTCGTGGTGCTTCTGTTTGATAGGCTGCGCTGCTGGCTTCACCTGCCGCCTTCCTTTGACATTGCCCATCTGCTCCCGCACGTGCCACTCTTCTTCTCCGATCTGTGCTTGAGGCTCTTCGGCAGGAGCACGACCTTTCCTCTTGGGCTTTTTTAGCAATACCGGGGCCTCCTGATCCGAGTCGTCAAATGAGCGCTCTCTTTTCTTTGGAATAAGACGAGGGGCCTCTGCTGCTTGATACAGCTGCCGATTCGGTGGCTGCAGGCGTGGGCTGTGGGACGGAGGAGATGCCTCGAGCTGGACTGGAGCAGAACTCAGACATGTGCACCTCGTGCTATGATATGAAAGCTGACCTTGATCTTGATCTGGCAGGGGCAACGCATCCTGATCTGAAGAGCGTCAGAAATAAGTGGCACAGTACCAGTCCAGAAATGCGAAAGCTGACCAATATAATTGCCCGTCAGTGATATTGCACTGTCGTTGGCACTTCAGGAGCTATTTATACTACATATCAATACATACGCACTTGGGTCCGTGAGCATAGAGGGAGAAGCTTTCTTCTGCTGGCACAACGAGCCTCAGTTGATGTTGCTCAGCCTGACGTTGCCATCTTAGTATAACTATACGCAAATGGCAGGTAACTGACCTTGCCGAGTGTCAGACAGCATAGAATAGCTGACTGAACTTTTCTGGGACTCTGCAACCCCTTCCGGGACCCCTCTAAAACTGCATCGCTATACTCAAGACGCAAACAAGTGCGTCCAGCAGCGTCTGTTGGCTTCCTCAGGTCAAGGCTAGCATTGGTGATGAGAAGATCAACTGGGGGGATAAAAGCGACACGGTGATTTGGTGCGATAGTTGTTGACCTGCTTGTGTGCTCAGCAATGTGGATGCAAGCTAGCCGTACACATACCACAGTGCAAGAGCGACGGGCATGACTAACGAATGTGAGAAACTCAGCTGTAAGATCTGTGATCACGCCTTACCATAAAGATCGGACGACTCTTTGATATCGCCTCGGATACTAAGTGTCCGTCTTCGTAACGCCTCTTGATCGAGACTCTCTGTCTCAAGGGCTCTGCCACTCCCTAATCGTAATCCCGGATAACCTCCGAAAATAAGCGGGGATGATAGGTGACCACCTCAAACAGGACATGCTCCAACCCGAGTGCAGCATCCAAGCCTCAGAGTCTGAAGATCTGAAGTCTGGTGCATCTGACGGATCGCTGCTACTAGGCATCAATTACCCAAATGGAATGCGCACGCGGCCCCTATGGGGTACAGCGACTGGACACGGCTGGCGAGTTTAATTAATCTGAGACTTGCCAGCAAGTCTAATTAATCCGAAACTTGCTAGCGAGTCTAATTCACCCGAGACTTGCTCAACAACGCCCGGCATTGCGAAACTAGAAGGGACCCCTGAAAGTGGATGACGTTGTCCGAAATTGACATCCCAAAAGAGGATAGATGGAATCAGCAGATTTTCTTGTTGTGGCACCGAGCCAAGATATCCGCTGTGCATACCATCAATATCCCAGAGCCCAAGCACACATATACCATCTTAGACTGTCCTTATAAGCCCGACACAATAAGTTTGCAAACAATGCAAAACAGGTGGCATGAAGTGGGGTTCAGAATCACCTAAAGCTTAACGTGGACTGAGCAAAGTAAGCCAAAGCGCGTCTTTTTGTCCGCCGCTTTTTCGCAAAATCTTAAGGCTTCAGTATTAGTTTCAGTATTCAAATATTCAACGGTTAAACATTTGGAGCTATGATGCCTGACATCCGAGAAACCCCTGGCCGAGATGAAGTTCTCCACATACTCACTAGTCAGCTCCATTGTGCAGGGGCTGTTCAATCACTCCAGTAAGGCAAGAGTGAAACACCCAGCTGGCGGATTACCCACCCCGCATAGTAGTCTGATTTGGTAGCCAGACCCTTGGCTCGACGAATGGCGTGTTTCAGGGCAATCGCTTCCTATTGAGGCATAGAACGCCATCTGCTAGCACCATATGCCTGCGCACGTCACCATATGCACGTCATTCTGCCTGCTGTGAGCACTGGTAGTCGCAGCGCGATAGCACTCCCCGGTGAACTCAGATCTCACGCCGGGACTTGTCGGCTCGTCTACGCACAGCACCGTAAAAATAATAATAATGCTCTGGCTCTGGCTAGCGGGTTGCTATAGCAGAGCTCCAAGGGTATCCACAGTCCGTGGACAAATGTCGACACCCATGACAGTGATGAACCTCGGACCATACCAGATGGCCTGCAAAACCTCTGACACTTGCATGCGCTCAGAGTGCTCTGAACCCCGACGCTAGTCCCATAGGAGGCTTTCTGTTCGAAGATCGGAGTATGTCAAGTGGATAGTGAGTCCTTCGTGGAGGCAGACAGTGAGAGAGCCGGGCCGCACGCCATGTCAGTCGTTGAGCCTGATTAATAAGCCCTGCGTACTTGAACGGCAAGCGCCCACTCCTCCGCGCGCCGGCTGTTCGCCCAGTTGCCGCCCAGTCTGTCCAATCTTCGGACAGCAAGATCCTCTCATAGCCGTGCAGCAGGTATTTGTGTGCATCCAACAAGCTGAGCGCAAACCCTTCTATCGGTGCGTGGACTTCGTCCGGAAAGTGGTGCTTTTCTGCTTGCGACGAGTCGACCGTTCGGTGCTGAATCAAGCTTGGTGACGATGTGTTGCACCCACCCACAATCTGTTTAGCAGCGTGCAGCAGCGAGCAAGAATGTGGCACACATGGCGGTGGCAGGGAACATCGTAGTTACGGCAGCTGCAAGGGCGAGCGTCGAGAGGAGTGGCTTGATGAATCGCGCTGCAGAGTAATATCTAGACAAGTGGTCACTAGCACTGTCTAGGAGAGCGGAGGACAGTGATGGCGAATGGAGCGCTAAAGATGTGCAAGGGTGTTGCGGCCCGATAATCTCCGCAGTAAGCCTCTGACATCGCTCGCCTCTACACACACTCATGAGTTGCTTTTATGCACAGCACTGCTGCTCGCTGCTTTCCGCCCAATAGCAACATCGGATAGCCAGCATTGTAGATGAGGTAAAGCTCTCCCTGTCAGACGATGATAAGTCCGTCTTTTTTCTGGACACGCTGGGCATCGCTGAACCTTAGTGCGTTCACAGATAAGACCACAGTCAGACACGCTCCAGCCTAGCTGCTGAATGTCTCGCAATTGCTCTCTTACTTCACGACCGGGCATCAGAAGACGGCGACTGCACTCTCCGCTGTGCTGATCACCAATCGGTACCATTCTACGCTGTGCGCCATTTCTGCTGAGCCGGTTCGCGCGTTCCTGGGCGAGCGAGACCACGCAGGCGATCAGACTCATCACTCACCAAGGTCTACCGCCTTTATCCTACGACGAGCGCAGGCGAGCGAGCCGATAGCATCGCAAGTGTCGGGGTGTACAGGAAAACCAAGAACCTCGAGAAACACGAGAACCACGAGACCGCACAACGAGATTGACAGGGCGGGCACACTGAAGGCGGGGTGCCAAATTTAAAGCGAGTCTTTGCGCCCATCTCCAGCGAAGATCTAGCCCTGGCGTATGCATCATCGCCACTATCGTTCCGTGGGCTCTGTTTTTCGGCAAGGAAAGTCACCCTCGCACCCCTTGGACCATAAATGCCCTCTGTGCGTTCGCATGAGATCTCGTGGAGGCGCCTTATGCCGTCGATGAGCATTAGTGTTGCCGGGTCCAAAGACAACGAGCACACGTTCAGGGACCACTTCATCGCCACGAGCTTGTCGAGCAGCACATCCCTCGCTGTGAGCGTCGCGAACGGCAGCAGCGAGTACAAGCGCCACGATGGCGGCGGCGTTCACGCTGGGAAGCTGCGCCTTATCAAGCTGTACGAGGAACATAGCATTGCGAAGACTGCACCAATGAGAACTTATGGTTGTACGATGCAAGACTCAGCGGGCGATGCACCCAACGTTGTGTCGCTGCCCTCGCACCGGCCCTCCTCCATCGTGAGGTGCTCACTGCTACCATCGTCTCCATCAGATCTCGCGGAGGCCTGGTGGAAGGCTCAGCTTGGCGCTATTGTTGCAGAGAACACCAATCGCTGCATTCTTTGTGCGCTGGGCATGATGTTATAGGTCAAACGGGCTAACAGGCTGGTCGTTCAGCTGAGGACGCTTAATGGACATGTTGGTTTCTTCTATACCTCCCAGGCTGCGCTGCGTGGTTGTCCTTGAGGTTGCTCATGTATATACTGTGCCCGAATGCCACCGCTGTTAGCATGATGTGAATGATGAACACTCAAATACTATGCTACGTCTTTAAGTGTACCACTAACATGACAAAGTATAAGTTCTAGAGCCGACGTGGATGATCATGTACACAGCTAGATGTACTACGTTCTATCATCTTGAGTCAGCGCATCTGAGACAGGCAAGGAGACGTGTCGAGGATGGCGATCCGACCGCTCTCTGTGTCAAAAACTACCACTTTACGGCGTACTGCGAGGCTTCCCCGATAAGCTGTCACATGCGAATGAGTCGGTACGATCTCTTGGTAGCAGGCGCGCACCATAGCTAGCCCTCGTACCATAGCTAGCCCTCGTGCTTATATGGGCATTCACATCTTCGGAGTAGCCAAACGTGGTCAGACTGTCGTCGAGAGAGACAGCATACAGCTTCGCCTCTGGCAAACGGCGTACGATTCTTCACTGCGTGTATGTGACCGGCCGATTTCCAAACACGGACACTGTCCTGAACGCGAGAGTTATACCGCGGCAGTATGGTTAAAGTAACGATTAGATAAGAGGCTAATTAAGGCCACTTAGAGAGATTTATAAATACTGAATGATCGCTGGACTATCTACGCCATTCGCCCGTCTGCCTCTATTCCCCTCGCACTCAAATTCCCCACACACATTCTAAGGATTTTCATCCTTTTGGGTTAAGCCTGCATGTAAGAAGCCAAAGGGGATGGAAGGGCATTTAGTCAGAGACTCGGGGCCGTAGATGTGCTAGGAGAGACAATTCTCTTTTGTAACGAAGGCGAAATAAATGATATGTCCCACAAAGGGCAACACTAGGCTACACTAGGCTACCACGATGGACAGCTGCAAATTACAGGCAGAGTGGCTGTCAGGCACTCAAAATTTGCGGACAGAGGCCCGAGCTGGGCCATATCGAGGCGACTATCCTCTGCGTCTCCGCAGGTTCGTCACCGCCACCGGTGCTGGCTTCTACAGAGCGACCGATGGCGGAGACCCGAGCTCCATCCCATACAAAATATTCTCAGCTGCGAGCAGAAGTCCAGGATTGGCCATCAAACCAGTGAGCGCACTCATAATACAACAGCTAGGGATGATGGTGCCGAGTCTGGATCTTCAACTGCGAGATCTTCCGCTCTCAAGGACCTCATTTTATCGCCAGACGTCAGTAGTGAGGAGGAAGCGTCAGGAAAACAACTTGGCTGCACAGTGCAACAGAGTGCTACAGGAGCATTTTGGAGCACTATGGAGCCAAGTCCTGTTTCCTGATGAAGTAGCCCCCGACGAGCATGCGGATCGTTCCACGGACACATCGCCAAGCCCGCCATCGCAACACGGGCCACGAGACTCTTTCTTTTCTCAATGTCTGATTATTTGAGTTCGTGGACTCCTTGTGCCAACATGGGACCCTCGTAGACAGGTGTTCATTACTCTACGTAGGTAGTACTCTGAACACAAGAACTTAAGATAATAAAAATAAAAATAAAAGACACAACAGCTAGAGCGGTAAAAGATGAGTCATCTGCAGCTGCAGGAGAATGGAGTCATGCGCATGACGATATGTGTGCTGCATATGTTTGATGAGTTCTCTTTGCTCATAAGCACATCCAGACCTTCATCTGCTGACTCTTCTCTCAGCCGTATGCGCAGTGCATGCGAAACTCGACATGCTTTGGCCCTTCAATCAGCAACCATTGGCACAGACCACTTTCAAGGTCGGCTATAGCATCGGCAGATTCACTCACTGGGTTCTTTCCTCCGTAAAACGGGACGCCCGATTGCCACAACTGAAGAGGACATCCTATTCGCGGACAGTCACAAAGCTAGGGTCACTTAACTTCGGTGAATACAATGTTCTACCATAGTACTTGTATACAATTACTGTAGCGAAATCCACTTCTCATCGTTGTGTCTTGAGAAATGCACCAAAGAGACTAGCCAGGGCGCTTGAAAGCCCCCGCAAGATCCAGCTAGTACACATTCCAATGATGCAGAAGAAGGCTGCACAAATGAAGGTTTGATTCTGCCATTCTTCTGCCTTAGCCATCCTGAACTGTAATCAGGGAATGCGCACATGAGCATGAAACTTGAGAGCCGCTCACCTAAAAATTGACGAGAAGCTAGATGCATGGACTGATTCATCTCTGTGACCTGGGTTAGCGTCATTGTAGCAATATATGGCTGAGCACCTACACGGTGTTCAACAACAGACTGCCCTTTAGATGGCTCACCGCAGTATTGAGGCTCCAAGCAATACCAGGCAGCTGCTCTGATACGTATTTCAGAGCCCCCTTACCAGATTCTTCTTGAGATAAACCCGGCCTTGTGAACTTCTCCGCGTCAACACACACCAAGGCTTCTGCGCAGCCGAATTGCGCAGGTGCGTCTGACATTAGGAAAACCAGAGTCCGGGCAAAGGATCGCAGCTCTGCGTTTCGTACAAATTTGAAACGTAGGTGCCTCATGGAGCCTTCGGTGCTGCTAATATTCAGCGTAGCAGATAGGGTATTCTTGGTTGCATAGAGCTGTTAGCTGCTAAAAGAGACACCAGAGTAGGCGCACTCACCAGATGGACAGCCAGGCTGAATGCCTGAGTGATGACCTTGGCATAGACTTGGTAGTGTTCCTCATTGACGACTAAGAACCAGTCTGAGGTGACAGATAAATCGTAGTGCTTATAAAAACGCAATCTAGCCACTCAACTGAATGATTTGTGGAATTGGGAGAGTATCACTGTAACCGCAGGCGTAGATGCACCAAAGACATTCTCTTGAGTGAGCTCAACGTTTCTCACAACAAGGTAGACCAGAGTCGGTCGGGCAATGAGCTCATGAACATCGAGAGCAACCATGGATGCTGAAGCCGTCGCGAGTGAGTTGTGGTTCGCATCTATATTGTCTGGTAGTAAGCGCCAACACCCCCGACACGCCTCCGATCTGGACAGGATCGTGAATATATCTTACGATTCACGTGATTACCTCCTGCCCGGTTTGAAGAGGGAGTGGAGTCAGTGGACCTATCAAACGCCAGATTAAAGGAGGCAATTACACCAGAGCGCCCCAAAAGTTGATGGTCACTCCTCGCACACGTCACTTCCAGGATCAGAAGGTGGGAAACCATCCTCGCGGTGATGCCGTGTCTTGATGTCCATGAAACTATGCTTCAGAATTATCGATTACCTTCGCACTTGTCTCTGCTCGCCTTGCTGCCTCGTAGTACTCAGTGTTCAGCTTCATGATCATGACCTTCTGAATATCTGGAATCCTTCATCTTCTCTGCTAACGCTTTGGTTACCAGCCATGACGTATCTGCGCAGACTTACTCATCAACGCTTGCTGTAGAATACAGTGACGCAGTCCAACGTTCCACGACATCTCCAGTAGATAGCGTAAACCTGGCAGTTGAGCCTATTCGCCGAGCTGCTTCAAGCACCGAGTTGACCGAGGTCACTGGTGAGTCGCAGTTCGAGTTGCCGTTTGGACCTGCGGGCTCCGTTGGAAAACCTGTTTCGTCCGTGAAGTTCCTGTAGCAGATATGGGCTTCGTGCAGTTCGCCTCCGAGTCGACCTACCTAAGTCCTTGGCGTCAGCCTCAATATCACTGGACAGGCGCAGGGAGACTACGCACAGTGCGGAGTCCGTTGATGAGCACGCCGCTGGCATAGATGACCTGGAAGAGCTTTCCGGTAGACTTGGAAGCATTCGGGTTGGTGGCCGGTACTTCGTGAACGGCACAGAGAAAGCATTCACAGGCGGCAGCTTACACAATTGAACACGGCGTCACAGAGATTGGTCACGGTCTGGCCGGTGACGGTGATCTGGCAGAGATCATACGAGAGGATAGGGCCGTCTTTTGCGAGAATGCCTTGGCAGACGTCCAGTTCTTCCAGCTGTGGGTGCATCATGTCGGTGAGCTCGTGAGACAAGCAGAAGCGTACCGTACAGCCGTCGCAGATGGAGACGAAGGTATCCGCGAACACGTCGTCCCCAAGGTGTGCAAGTGTCTGTGGCAGGACGAGTAGCGCCTGGCATGATGTGCAGTCCGCGGCATTCTTGAGAGCGCTCTCAATCTCACTAAGAAGGTCGCCAGATGCGCTACGCGGCAGAGTGAGTAGTGGCGAGATGCCGGGCAGTCTTTTGAAGAACATGTTTGCGAGCCGACGGAGGCCTGGCGTTTAACATGCGGGCCGTGTCTTCGCCTCTTGATATGCAAGTTTCCTGTTGAAGCCATAATAATGAGTGAGGAATACGAGAGAAGGGCATCTTGAACGCGAATTGCACCTTGAATCGACCCGTTCAAAAACGAGCACCCCCTCCTCACGTGGCCTTCTCCTCCTGCGACTCTGCCGATAGAGCAGAGGAGGAAATCTAGAAGAAGAATGAGGTTAATCGGTAATGGTGAAGAGGGATCCCGGACGTACCTACCTAAGACAGCTAGTGCTCCCGCGCTTCGCTCGTCGTGACCCTGTACGCGGAGCGCACAGTTGCGTCGGGTTGCGCGTGTCCGGGGGAGGGGGGGCGGTTGAAAAGTATCAGGCGGAAGGCAGCAAGATCTTCGCGTACCGTCATGCGTGGGGCCCGGACAGTGTCCCATCCCCTCCATACGGTGTTGCCAACATTGCGCGACGCCGATCCGTCGCGCAGAGTCTAGGCATGCACACGCAGCAACGGCACCGCGGTGGCTACTCTGGCTGCCGCGTCGCCGAATATCCTCCCTACGAGCAGCAACAGCTTCTGGCTGTTGCTGTTAGCATGATCTTTCCCGCGCAGACTCCTGCTATGCGCCATCCATCCGTTCTCGTTCCCCGGTCTCGCCGGTCTCGCCAGTCTCACGCAGCTGGGCGCCTGACTTCGCTGGGATTCTCCGGGCTCCCTCCTTACTTATCAGCGGTGTGCCGGTCAGTGACTGAGTCAGTGACTAGTCATTTCGGTCACTGACTAGTCACAAGTCAGTCTGACTGTGACTGAGACCGAGCGGTCACCGGGTCTCCATCACGGGAAGGGCTACTGGCACTGCGGACATACCCAGGATACCTCATTTCTCAGTTAGTCTGTGGCAGGGCTTGCACCGGAGGCATCGTTCGAGCTGGTAGGTGCAACACTAGATGCAGATACTGCGCCGGGAAGACAACAATATGCAGAGTGCACAAGCGGTGAGTCCTTTACCGAGGCTCAAGGGTGTCCTGGCCCACGCTACCATTATGAGCGTCGCATTTGCTCAGGAACATGATAAACTACTTAGTACACATTGCGTCGTCTTCCAATAGCCGTACGCATACCTATGTTTCCCACGGGTACCGCTCGGTCACTGACTATGGTCCGGTCACTGACCCATCAGTGACTAGTCACTGACTGTGACTTTATGACTGGTCATGTTCGGTCAGTGACCGCACAACACTGTTACTTATGCTTCTTTCGCCATCCCTTGTCCGCCACCCTCATGTACCCTCGGCAACCTTACACATCCTCGCCAATCTTGCACACCCTCGCCTCCCAGCCCACTCGTGCTTGGTCCTTACCTAGCACGCACACACCGCGCCCACCGCCGTCTTTGGCATCAACCGTTCGGCTGGCCGCAGATTCTCGGACGAAGAGGCGGACGGCGATGGCAAGAGACGGACTTAGGTGAGTACTACTTGAATCGCATGACTGATGCTTTCTCTGACTTGCCGTGTTAGCACCTTTAGGAGCACTTGTCCTCGATCCTAGCCAAGTTGGAAAGTGTTGAGTAGGACCTCAACATTGAGGGTCGGTAAGTGGGTTTTGCCTTATCTCCGTGGTTTTCTCTGACTAAGATGTATCTGGCGGAGGATCAGCTGGACCTAATCGAGAAGGAGAAGGTCACGCCGCCGCAATCTCCAGACTGCCCTCGGCGCCGCTCAGATGATCGTCTCCAAGCGTCACCGTTTCCAATAGGCGCCTCCTCTCTCTCTCAGGGCGCGAACTCAAAGGCCGCTGGACCTGCGCGATTATCCACGTCATTGAGCTTAAAATCACGTCCGTGAGCTTGGGAAAAGAGAAGGACGAGACGCGGAGAAGGTGCAGCGAGCACGTGTGTAATGGTGTTTAGGCTCTCCAATCATATCACTCACTCGCTATCGCTATCAGACAACCTGTAAAGTCGCCTCGCAACGGACACCCAGCCGCGGACGGCTCCCTTGAACCTTCCGCCTCTGTTTTCGACAACACCGAGCTCGCGCTGCACACCGACTGGCTCTTCTTTCTCCCATGGAATATCCTTGTCTCGGCTTCCTTCCAGCTCGTCGGCTTCCTGCTTACGCGTCTGCATCCACTACACATGATTCACGCCTCAAAAGCTCAAGTCGCCCACTTCATCAACGTCCAAGGCAGCCCTCCAATCGACAGTTCATCTCCAGGTCGTTGACTCTCTGAGCTCTACCACTACCCGCCTTCGCGCAAGTCTTCCGCGCACGTCCCCCAAGCTCGCGAGCGTATTCAACGATTCACAGCCGCCACGACCTACGATGGAAGCCTCAACACCGCGCAACCCGGTTTCAGTCGCCATACTCCGTCTCGTGCGCACTCGAGTTCTAACCTTCTGCCCCCTGAACGTCTCACAACGTTCAAGCTCATCATCGCCACTCCTCCACCGAATGATCTTCCGAAGGCGGCGTGGTAGATTCGCGCATCTGGACGGTCGCTCTCTTTCGGAGGTCTCCCGCGAAGGCGAACGCACCGTCATTGCGGGCCAATGCGCGCATGAAGCAGCGTCCCACTGGGCCACTTGTTGATGCTCTGCGAGCCAACGGTGGCGTCGTCGAATACCTTGAGTCCCAGGGCTGCCCTCCTCTGTCCTTTGCCCTTGCAGGCTTCGTACTCTCTCGAACCGTCCCTGCGCCGCCGCGGGCCCGCGGCGATGAATAGCCTCAAAAATGGCTAACACGACGATCGCGTATATATGCCGCTGCGCTCGACGCTTTTGCGTTGGCGGTGCAGCACCTTGGACACGCTTTCACCACCATGCATCCCTTCACCTTTGACTACGAACCCATTAGCATACCGCAGTACGCCTAGGCATGCCCCGTCGCTCCTGCAACGACCGGCAGTATCTCCAGACCTCGCGGAGGAAGCGGTCGCTTGCAGGCAGTGCGAGCGGGCCCTCCGCGAGCGAGAGGAGGCCCGAACCCGCGCTGCTCGCGCCGGTCTCGCTCGACAGCCTTTGAGCGCCTATCATACTACTTGTATCTCGACGATAACGGCGGCGACTATGGCCACGGCCTCGGTCCCAGCTCCCGCCCAGCCCGTGGCGGCTGCTCCACGTACCCGGAGCACTCGTACATCACACCTCAAGAACAGCGAGCGTTACTCCAGGAGCGCTAGCGCATCAAGCGGGCAGAGGGGACGCATAGAGGCTATCGAGCGGGAGCGAGAGACGGAAAGGCAGCGGACTACTGCATTGGAGGAGGATCATGCTCGAGGAGGAGGACCGCCAGTGCAAGAGAGAGGAAGGGAGACGTTGCCTGGAGCAAAAGAGACGTCGCCTGGAGGAAGAGGAGTACCTCAAGTACTCCTCTGCGCGAGCTACCTCAGCGCTCTTCCCTCTGAATGAGTTACTCGATCTCCGCCTCTCCTGTTCTCTGCAGACCAAGATGGTAAGTCGCCTACCATTGTCGGTCCTGGCTTTTCCGCTGATTATATGCGCGTCAGAATATCTCGCGCAGAGCTCGTAATACGCCTCCGGGTAACCGCAATCGCTCACTGCACCCTACTACGCCTCGATTGCAGCGGCCGCTGAGCAAGGCTCCTTCCCCGCCCACCGCATGCGCCGAGCGTCCAGCTGGCCAACAGTGTCTCCAGTCAATACATATTCTCTATCCTATTCTGTGCGCCGTGCGCCCAAGAGCAGGCCACGCTTCGCTGGTCGGCGGACGGGTCATCTCGTGGCCGTACATCGATGGTGAAGACGCTCGGTGTCCACGTCATGCGCGAGCGCAGCCCCGAGATGGGCGCCGTGCTTGACGTGTACACGATTCGGAAGGCTACGTACGTCAACCCGCACAAGCACAGCATCGAAAGCGACGCAAGCAGCGCGACATGTCCGCTCGCAATCGCCGCCATCACCAGTACGAAGTCACGATCACCAACGTTGGCTCGGCGTTCCTGCAGTGCGACGCCCGCTCCACGAAGGAAATGTTTGAACCCATGGGCTGCGAGGTCGTCCAGACCGAGACCGAGACTACTGTGCGCGGGCCGCCGATAAGCAGGCTCAAGCCCCTTGGATTCATCGACGTGGAGCCGATGGTAGACGCATTCCTCACTGCATCGGTTTCGCTACCTCCACCACTGGGCAGTGCCTGCCTGGACGTGAGGTCATCGATACTCAGGGCTACAACGCCTCAAGAATTAATGTCATCGCCGACCAACGCGTCAAGGAGTGCAGCCGTGTCCAGGCGATGATCGATCTGGGTGTGTAGCACTACTCCCACTGTGCTTTTTAAATTCGTTGAATTTGACTAGTGCCCTTACAGCGAGATTCAGTACTGAGGCAAAGGAGCCCGACGATGGACTACAAATTTACGGCACGCCCACTCCCAAGTTTAAGGAAGGCTGCAGCATCCGCTGCTACGACGACCACCGTGTCGCTGTGGTGTTCAGCGTGCTTGGCTCGATCATCAAAGAATTTATCATTGAGGAGAAGCGCTGCGTTGAAAAGATCTGGCTGAACTGGTGGGATGACCTCGAGACCAAGGTACGGGTTCGCGTATACTCTTGTGTTACTGGTCTCTGAGATGTCCCCTATTTAGATCGGTCTTCATGTCGAGGGCGTCAAGCTGCCGGCTGCACCGCTTGCCAGCTTATAGAGCAGCCAGTCCCAAAGCAGCCCGTTGGCGTTCATCATCATGGGTATGCGCGGATCTGGTAAGTTTCATTGGCGACCTCGCCACTTCGACGCTGGGATGGACCTTCATCGATGTCGACACCTATTTCGAAGAGAGGCACCGGCAAGGAGTGCGTGAGCTCATGCACTAGGAGGGTTGGCCCGGCTTTCGCGAGGCTGAGGCAGCCATCCCGTCCGCGCTCCTTGAGAAGTACCCGACGACTCACGTTATCAGCCCCGGAGGCGGTATCATTGAGACGCCCTCCGCACACGACCTGCTCAAAGCCTACGTCAAGAGAGGCTCTGGCGTGCACATTGTGCGCAAGATCGACGAAGTCATCAAGCAATCAGGCGAGGAGACTGCGCCCACCGCATACGGAGAACCTGTTGTAGAAGTCTTCAAGCGCCGCGAGCACTGACTCGCGGAGTACTGCAGCCACGAATTTTTCAACTACACTGGTGTGTCCAACACGTCCGATATCGTCTCCGCGTCTCCCCAAAGCGTCCACTGCGAGGTCACTCGTTTCTTCGAACACATCACTGGTCGGCGCCCGAAGCGCAGCCCCGTCGACACGGAGAGCTTTACGTCATATGATCCTCCGACTCCCTACGTTCGTTTTCGCTGTATCGCTTCGTCGTGGAGCGCACGACGGCCGGCGGATCGAAGCTTATCATCGCCATCAACACGGGTTTCGAGGGTCAGACGTCTCGGATCTTGAAGAAGACCTTCAGCCCGGTCACTCATCTACTCCTTCTGTCGAACGCTGCGCTCGGGCAGCTCTCGTTCGTGCAGATTCAGAACGTTCTTAACCTCCTCGGCCTACACCCTTCCAAGAGATTCTTCTTGTCTGGCGTGTCGTGAGCGGATACGGTGACCAGGCGGGGGACGTCTGCCGGCAGCGGTCCCGAACGAGCTCGCAGACGAGCATGAACATAGGCAGCTCGCAAGTTAACGGCGCTGTTAGGACCCTGAGTGACGGCGTATTCGCGAACGTCACTGCCATGCCGTCAAGACCGGTGGGGTGATGGACAGTGAGTACTTGGTGCTTACCCTATGCTCACTGCAAACTGAAGGGCAAAAATGTTCCTAAGTAATACCATCTGCCACACTCGCGTACCTCCGACAATGATATAGTTGTATTCTGCCTTCACCCGCTGAAGTGTTTGTGTAAGATACGAAGTCCCGAAGGGCCATAGACATGCAGCAAGATACACTGGGTGGTAAGGGCGGTTTTTTTGGCGGCGAAACTGGGTTCAAACTGATGAAACAAGGCCCCGCTTTCGTGCGATTTTCCGCCATTAAAAAAAAGGACAAAACTTGAAGTTTGCTTTTCAGTTTACTGCCTTGTACAATCAGGACAGAACTGTGAGATTGTGGTATAGATTTCCTCGCTTTTAGCGCAGGCACCATCTTCAATTTAATCTCGATTTGTAACGCTTGAAAAAAACGCGTCAAACCAAGTGGCACTGTTTTACTGCAACAGGGAGCTGCCAGCTTGTTGACGCGCGTGCGGCAAACCTTTGCCGGGAGGGACTCCAGGCACCGGACCCAATGTCACGAACGGTCACTTAGTGACTTCGCGGTGACTGGCCGATGTCATGGTTTAGTGTATACACTCGCCATGTGTATACTCGCCATGTATCCTTCCACCGTAGCTTAGTCACTCTGACACGGCCATGCAATGTTCAGGCGCGTATATGATGGGTGTAGCTTCAACTCTACATTAATAATCTATACAAACTGTCCTCTGCCAGACAGCTTTTTGTCTCACGAAGAGGTCATCGAGCCTGTGCAAAGCTCTCCGTGACAAGCAGCAGCCTGTCCTGGGGACTCAAAGTCTGTTGATACGTCCTGCCGCATGCAAGTATTCTACATCCGCTTCTGAGAGTGTGAAGATGGTCCTTCAATCTCACTCTTCTCATCGCAGGCATATTCGGCCTCGTAGCAGGAGGCTCCAGAAACTTTGCCCCTCTGGCCTCTCTTCTTGCCATACTTGGTGTTGGTGTCGGAGGCAACCTGCCTGTTGACTCTGCGGTATTCCTTGGTCCATGTACGCCATCCTTGCCGTTGTTCTTGCGTGCTGACGCCGGCCCTAGACTTTGTTCCTGGTTCTCATCAATATCTTCTGACCGTCCTGTCTGTTTGATGGTCCCTCGGCCAGCTGTTCGTCAACTTGGTACGTTTTGCATCCTGTGATCTGCATTTATGTGCTGATATTTTCCAGATTGCCTGGCCTCTAATCACAAACCTCTCATGTCCCCCAGACTCTGCTCCAGGTACCTGCACCCGGTCTCAGAATATGGGCTGGCGTGACCTTCTCTTCACCCTCGCTTGAGGAGTCGCTGTGTTACCTGGTGCGTCGCGGACGTGACGCCGATGCTGTAGCCATGGTGCATCGTCTCGCGGCTTACAACGGGACAACCTGTAGCCTCACCATGGAGCAGCTTCGGGATGCTGGCGAGTTGGCTGATATGAAGAAGGATGGCTCGCACGAAGCAAAGGTGACAGTTCTCAGTCGGACATGACATCTAACTACACCATGGACCATATCAAGGCTCTCTTTGAGACGAAGAAACTCGCCTGGTCGACGAGTCACATCACAAACTCGAAGAACGCCTCGAAGAAGGTTTCCTCGAGCCGTGCTCAGCACACTATTGATCCGCGTCTCGCGATCGCGAGACTGTATCATTACCATCGTCTTCAGCGAGAGCAGGCCTTACGTCTGCGCCCCGAGCCTCTCCAGTATACCCCTAGGTATGTCTTACCAATCTCATCACAAATCAGCCGATAATAACCGGTGAATCTTCTAGGATGGATTTATACGACGACGAAGCGCTGCCGAACGTGTCCGCCATGCTCGAGCTGCCAGGCGTGAACCGGCACACGCTTTCGCTCCAGGTCCAGGGCGACAAACTCATCGTCCAAGGCGAACGGGCCTCTCCTTTGGCTTCCAAGCTGCAGGAAGCGGCTGCTGGTCGACAGACGTCCGTCGCCTCTCAGAAGTTCAAGGTGCGGGAGCTCAAGTTTGGCTCTTTTCGCCGTGAGATAGACGTACCCGTCGGCATAGACGTAAGTTCTGTTATCTTTGGCTCTCGCTAACAAATTCGCTGACGGATACCTTCAGACCACGCAGATTACTGCAGAGCTATGCGATGGGATATTGCTCATCTCATGGCCTCGCGCCTCGGACTTTTCGATGGGCCGCTCAAATGCACGCCCCATCTAGCATTCTGTCCTGCTACATATTCATCGCTATACCCTCTCAGTCACGCGCAGCACATATCATTATTCGTCTCTACATGCTGTCTGTAATGTTTGTGGCTGTCCTTAGGGTTGATGGAGCACGCGTTAAAGCGCGAGGGTCCCTCGCAGGTGTACACCTTGTCCGTCGCGAGCGGCTGGCTGAAGTCGATGGTGTCTTTCGGCTGCGGCGTCATTGTGCAGCGCGGCGTGGTGCGGGCGTGCGCTGTTGGGTGTGTGCGTGCGCTGGTTTTGGCTCTGGGCCGTGCAGCGCGTCCATCCGTGTGTCCAGACGAAGCTGTCCGGAGAGTGCGAGCGGCGCGCAACGGCATTCAGTCGGCGCTGGCTCGCGTTCCGCGCCCGTAGAGCCAGGATCGACCCAGTGGGGGGAACAGCAAGCTTGAGCACGCGGCCATCAGCCACCGGCGTTCGCCCGGGCGGGGCAGGGCGGGCACCTGCGGTATCTGGCTGGCAGACACGCAGAAGGGCGCTCAGTGCGAGATTGGAAGAATAGACGAGGATTCTGACTCACCTGCCGCCCTTGTTCCAGCATCCGACCCTACTACTCAGACTTGAGTTCTCCCAGGGTGCCCGACTGCAGATCTCTCGCCAGGTCGAGCGCCGAAGTTATACCCGAAGCTCGCGCGGCCAGCCGATAATGTCGAGCGTTGCATGGCCGAGCCAAGGATAACGTTCACCTGTGCGAACGCGCCGCCGTTCTGGAATATCTCCACAAGCCAGCAGTCCCACGGCTGGATCAACTTGTCTGTGAAGATCTCCGTCAGATCGCGGGTCTGTGCGAGACTAAGGCGGGGTTCAGTACACGGCGCTGGGCAACAGTCGGCTGGGGCAGATGGTATCAAGGAGGTATAACGCACCTGGTTCTGCGGCGGTGAAGAAGGGAGGAGCGGGAGCGCGGAAACGGGTTGCTTCGCCGCCGCGCGGCCGTGGTCATAAAATGCGCCAGCCGAAAAATGCCCTTCTTGATCTTGATGCGCTCGCGCACTGGGCCTGCATGTGCTGCACAGAGCGCGCCGCGCATGCCGAGCGTTGCAGAGGTCACCATCGGCGGCTTCGTCAGCAAGGCGGGGTATGGCAGCTCGTACGACGTGCGCGTGTAAGAGGACAGTAGAGGCGCAGGGCCTGATCGAAGGAAAGCGGCACGAGAGGTAGCTCACAGCCTTTAAAGCCTGCGCAGCCGATTGTTCGCTTCTGTGGTCGGAGCTCCATGTAGAAAGCTTGTGGGTGCCGTCGCTGCGCGTGCCCAAGGAGTGGTGCAGGACTTTGCGAGCGACGTGCTGACACTGCCAGGACTACATGCACGGGTTGTCGTACGGCGTCGACCTCGTCGCCATTGAGAAAAGCTTACAGACGTTCAGACAGACACCTGGTGCCGAGCATGAGCGCGGCCGGTACGTACGCCACGGCCTCATCGCGGTATCACGATGGTGGGGCGGAACAGACATCAAGAAGGGCAGGGACCACGAGCAGCTCGGCGGGAAGTTTGTGCTGGGATCTGGGTGTGTTTGTCTTGGTCTGGATAGTCAGGGGAAGGCGTGGGGCGATATCTTTGCATGGACATGACACGATAAGCATACGGAGATGGTACAGGAGCTAGTGACATACCTTTGCCCTCTAGCCAGACAGGTCCCACAGCGTCTCCGCTTCATTGATACCGTGTCTCTGCTTGATTGACATTAAGTTGGAAAGTTCTTGAAGGCTGTACCATCAGTGTTACGGCTGCGATAGAAGGTAGTTGCGGTAGGGAGATAAATGAGTGACGAGAGGCACTGGTCGAGATACCACTTTTGGACGATGAGAAGCGCCCAAGAATCGGACGGCTTTCCAGCAGCATAGCGGGAGGGGGGTAATTCTCTAAGCATAAAGGAAGATATATAACTGATATAGATACCTTCAAGTACATCAGACTCAAAAATCGTGCGACGCTCGTGGGTTTTGGGCATGTAAACACGACATTCTTCGTACCTTGCACTTAGACGCGGAACACGCTAACAGCAGCGCGTCGGGTATCGCATCAGGTAGCGCGTCGAATAACGCGTCGAGTAGCGTGTTTGGTTTGTTTGAGACGCGATCTTGTTCACTTTTTTTCCACTTTTGTTGCTACACTTCTACATTTTCCTTCATTGAGTATGCCGGAGTACCGCGAACTTCTTGCTGCTACCATCACCATTCAACGTTGATTTCACGGAGTTAACCCGGATGGCTCGCACCTGGCCCTTCAAGCCATCTGGATCAATGCTACAGAGAAAGAAAGAGCCAAAGCTAAGAAAGGCTCTAGAGAACATGATGGAATGGTGTTCACTCTTACACCTGACTGACGATGTTCAAGGGGATCCTGCAGTGCACAGCAGGAGGTCTATCCCCCTGCACCATGGTCTACATGGCTGGGACCAACACAAACCGGCAAGGACGTTAAAGAGACCAAGAAGACTGCGAAGACTGTGCACCAAAAGAGGAAGAAGGCCTCCTCCTTGCCAATGCAAGAAGATCCTGATGTGCTCGAGCCACTGACAACCCTTTGGCTTCGTGACATTCATGCGACACCTCGTACTGTGATCCTGGACCTGGGAAAGCAGTTCCTTCAGGTAAAGTTTGCATTGGGCTTGGGTAAAGTGAGCCTTCTTACATATTTTCTCATGATAGATCCAGTTGCACACACATGTCATGTGCCAGCCGTATACTTGTTCACAGTGGGACAATGAAGTTCATTACTTTCTCCACTCTGCCCCAAAGCCAGCCTTATCCAGAACATCTAGGATCGAGTATTCAAGGTTGGCATGGCCTTGGATTTTGGAGACTATATTCTGGCATTTTTGACAGCAGATAACATCTTTACGGTGCATGGAATACTCTACTGGGTTGTGTTATAAAAATCATAATTTCCTTACCTCTAGCCACACTGGGCCACAGGCAGAGATGATCTGCCTAAACAACATATCGATGTCTACCAGGACTATGGCCGTTTCTTAGCAGGATTTGGAGCGTGGGTCATGTCTAGGCTAGAGAAAGAATATGATTGCTCCGGTTTGGCCATCAACGCCCTGCGCGGAGCCAATGAAGTTATTGGCGGCTTTGAAGTATACACCAGCTCAGAAGTGTTCTATCTTGCAGGTACAGATGGGTCATTGCCTCTACTGAATTGGCTCACACTGCTACTCTCGCAGGTATCCCTGTGTTTATAACAGAGCAGGAGTTTCTGTCATCTCCTTCACGAATGGCCAGGTTTTGTGATGCCTTTTGGGTATTTGCTCGCCATGCCCACTTGGAGCTTGAGTATGTGGCGAGCCTGTCTCTATGATGGATGTTAAGCTTATAGAAATGCACAAAGAAAATTTCTGCAATCCTACTTTGATGGGTACATCATTGCTGTAGACAATCAGCAGCGTATGAAGTACTCGTACTGGCTTCACATCTATGCAAAACACCAGACGTTCATGTCTGAACGTATGCGAGAGCTTGTATCAACCTATGTGGTGTGTATAGACCGAGTCTCCTCTATTGTTACAGTTAGCTCATTTTCCATACCACAGGATACATTAGATTCGCTTGGAGCACGTCAAGGGCAACTGTTTGTGTGGTCTCCCGCTGTTGGGCTGTACGATGTGTTTGAACCAACATACCTCAGAAACACTCTTGAGAGAAGAGAGAACAACCTTGGTGGACTTGTATTTGGACAGGAATTATGGTCTAAACTAGGTGATACAGCACCTGACTTGGAGGATCCATTATCCAGTGTGTTATGCGCCAAAGGTAAGTATATTTCTGATTGTCTGTCGATACAGATGGCTACTAAGTTGTTCTGGAGGTATCTCTCTGACAGCAGAGACACATCTCGATCTGCCCATCTATGAGGCCACATTATTCGTGGACAAGACCAAATTACAAAAGGCCTCTGTTCTCTCACGTCTTTACTGTGGAGAAAATTCAACAAAGAAGCAGCTGTGGACAATTATCCCAAATTATCCAGAGAATATTGGAAGTCGAGATGGACATACTACGAAGTAAGTGGAGATATCTTATATCAAACATCCTGCTAACCCTGTGCCTCAACGAGATTACAGGGAACAACAGAACCTCAGAGCTTTTCCACTATATCGTCAACAAGACACACAAGGTTGCTATCGGCCCCCTGGAGTACTGTGCAGTCGCACGAAGAGTCTACCGTCAAGGTGCAGGATAAAAGAATCCTCTGTACGTATATTGTCCATGCCTAATTTAACATAGCTAAACTGTGTTCTGTTCACGTAGGATCATTGTATGCCTGAATAGTCCAGCTGTACCACCGATGTTTGCAGCACGTGAGCATGCTCGGAAGGATAGCATTGGAAGATATAAACCTGGGATGCAAAAGAGTGCATATAAAGGAAGCAACGGTCCAGGTGGATGGGGTGTGTCAAAGTGTGCTCAAGAGAACACGCAGAATACTCAAGAAGGTAGCAAGGAAGAAGAGATAGATAATATTTCAAAACCTAGAAAGAGGCAACGCCTGGGCGCAGATGCTCGCCTTGTGCTCCAGACTTCTCAGCAATGAATAAAATTAGGATTGAGCTACAGAGTGGTGCGCACAACTCGTTAACACCGTGAGATCAGTGAAGAGAGGGCCCCAAGTGCGTAGTTGCACAGGCGAAGGACATCACTTGCTAGTCACGGTGTAGAAGGGCGTGTTGTGTGTATATATATACAGCTGGTTGCACCAAGTCACGCTGAAGGTAACGAGGTATTCGAGGTCCTCTGGTAGCCATCACAGAAATTCCATCTACGGCAAGCAAATCACTGATCGCACGCGCGTCAACAAGCTGGCAGCTCCCTGTTGCAGTACTGTTTTGTTGCTCTAATAATTTCATCTAAAACATATCCCAAATGGGAAATTTTATCTCAAATTACTTCTATGTAAAAACTGGGCACAACTACAGGTTTTGTTTACAGTCTCTCAAGGTAATCAATTACCGAAAAAATTGACATGTGATGCAAAGTTTTGTTGCAGATATTACCAGAACGACTTCAAGTTTGAGCTCAATTTTTACGGTGTAGGAAAATGGAAGTAACAGCCCCTAGATTGTACCACAATCTTTATGGTAGAAAACCTGCGCAGAACTGCATAAATAACTCACACTTTGAAAGTAAGTTTGCACGGTGGCCAAAATCAGAAGAAACGAGGTCTCTTACCCTAACCGCCGCCTCGTCTCCGCCACGCCGAATGTTCGTGCTCGTCTGCGAGCTCTTCGGGACCGCTGCCGGCAGACGTCCCCGATCGCCTCGTCGCCATATCCGCTACGACACGCCAAACAGGCCGAGGAGGTTGCACAAACGAGAGCTGCCCGGCGCGGTCATGCGCGTCCTCAGTCCGCGTGTCGGGCAACGAACCACCCTGGCTGACGGCATGGCAGGCGAAGACGATTCGCGTTCCGCCTGAGGGCGGTGGTCTGCTCACGAACGTAGGGAGTCGGGTGTCCGCGCGCGGTGCCCTCCGCGAATAGTTCGTGGCCGCGCCGTTCGGTTCCGTAGTCCAGGTGTCCAGGTTCGTCGCCTTGACGATCTCGGGGACGCCTGTGAGGAAGACGCGACAAACATCAGTTGCGTGGTTCAAGCGAGCGCGGACGGGGCGGTGCTCACCTGGGTGGGCATCACTGATGACGGTGTGCAGGTACAGCACAGCCGTCTCGCGCCAGATACTGGCGACCGTATGCCGCGTGTGCTCGTCAGCGCCGGGGCCCGATGATTTCTTCCAGTGCGCAAGCGCGGCGGTCTCGGCAATCGCGAGCACAGCCTCGTCGGGACAGCCGGTAAGCTTGTCCATGCGCAGGTCGAGTTGGTCGTTGTTTGTGCACGGGCCGCTTGAGCACCTGGCTAATCTTAATAGGGCGACCGATGGGCGCAGGTCTGACATGTGGTACACCGTCGTCACCGGAAAATCGAGCGCAACCTGGTTTGACATGGTGAGTACGTTCACACTCGACGAGACTGTAGTGCGACGCACCCCAAGAGCACCCCAATCTTCCGCAGCCATCGATTAATCAAGTTTTCCTCTCCCGTCCCGTCCCCAGCGTACCGCAGTGCGAAGCCATGAGCGTACCGTGCTGAAGTGCTCGCGAGCATTTGACCGCCGTCCCATACGGTATATAGGGAGATCGCTGCGCCAGATAACCTTTGGGAAATGGGGAGTGCGACGGCATGATCGGATACGCTCGGCGCAGGGATCGGAAAGAAGGCGCGGGTGGCTTGGGGTGTAGTGGCTCGTGGGGAGCAGCTAGTAGAAGGTGTGTGGATGGTTGTCTCCCAGTATAGTAGGATGGCATTGGCCTGTGTAGATGCGTATCATGGTGGCGCATCTTTCTGGGCCTCTTCCGAGACAATACGAAGCCACACTCTCTGCCTGCACTCATGTTTTGCACAACTCAAGTGGAACAGGTGTGTGTGTACTGGCCTGCCAAAGACTGCGCCTGCGGCATGCTCATTATCGAGCGAGGCAACAAGCGTGACATTTGGCTTGACTGCTTCCTGCTACCATCGACATCCCACCAAAAGCACAGCATGATCCTGAAGGTGGACATGCTCAATTAGAAGACAGAAATTATCACCAGCAAGGGCCTTGGCAGCACGTCAAATATCAATGCAGTGCAGTACAGTCACAGCATGCCTAACAAATACAACGCGTGGGTGCAAGCTGGACACAAAGGACAGAGCTATTCGGAGCTGTGGCCATACTTTGAGAGGGCAGAGTGCTTGTACAATTTGGTGATGAAGGAGCATTTTGGCACTGAAGGTACGTTGACCATATGTTTTCAAAAATACAAAGTGTTCACATCCAGCAGGTCCATGGAAGATTCAGGCCCCTCACTCCACCTTCAAGTTGAGTCTCAATGAATAGTGCATAAACTTTGCGTATACGTTCACACTTGCTCATACAACACCTTATATACATGCTCAGCACCACTCAAAGTCAGCAGCTTTGAGCCATAGGAGATGGCACCGAGGAAAAGAGAACATGCTGGCCAAGATATAGCCACCACACCGTGACTCATGGTACGGCATATTGTACTGCCCATAGAATACGAGCAGGAATGGCAGCTCTGAGCTAGACTTGAACAGGTTGAAGACTCCCATTCTGGCTCAATGAACAGGTTAATGTCCGGTACCCCACCTGCTCACATGCATTGTCGACGAGGACTATGATGGCAATGGCGTGGCTGCTGAAGTGCTTGTGCCATGTTAGCCCGAGCAATGCCCCCAACTCCGGTGCTCATAAGCGGGCCCATGCACTTGCCGCCTGACAGCTGCTGCAGATGTCTCCGCACTTTATAGCAAAGCACTCAGCGATGCAAAGGGGCTTACTCCCTCGAAGCAACCACCCAGGCCTAGGCTTGGACATTGAAACACTGACCCCAGGCACTCACCTGTCTGCAGCAGCAGATGCATGCCTTCTCCCTCTGCGCAGGCTCCATTCTCAACTCACTTGTCATCTGCTCTGCTACTAGTTGATGACGCACGCGTCGCACTCATCTCAGATGTAGCAGGATGTGCAGTGCTAGCCATTCAACAATTCATCGAGCCTGGTATTACTGACAACATTTCCACCGATCCACACCCGACTAAGTCGATGGGCATTTTCCTCCTGTCATCAGCATCATTTGGCGTCGTGCGGGTTGCCATTTGAGGTATTGCCTCTCAATAGCCTGCATAGTCGCCCTTGGATCCATGGCTGCCGAGCTCATGGATCTGCCGTGGAAGATGACCACGCATGAGTATTGTGCAACACCATCGCTCACACTCCCATTGGACAGTACCATTGTGCTCACCTTCACCATGTGTAGTCGCATTGTACGCATGAATACCGAGCTCAAAGGCTGCTCTGGAGACCTTCTAATGCATCTGTGTCCAGCTCTTATCCTGCATCACCCCGTCAGCCTCACATGTTGCACCTGACAGTACCTTGGTGGCACAGTTGGAAGGAGACTACAGGAGGGCATGGAACGATGAACAATATACCAGGTTGAAGCTCTCAAGCGGCAACATGAGAAGTGAACTGAGAGAGGTTTGAAAGGCGATACACGAGTCTGGCTATGTGTTTGACATGCTCATTCAGCAGATATTTCAAATGTTCTCAGGATAGAGTACTTGACTGTCTGCTTGAACATCCCAAAGTTTGATGCTGCGTCTACCATTAGAGGCAATGAGGAAAACGCGGGTGCTGTAGGCTCGTAAGGCACCAAGCCTCAGTGGATCGTCTGTTGCATCAGCAAGCTGACCAGCCCGACTGTACAGCGGTTGTCCTCATTGTTTCGGCAGCCAGCTGAAAAATCAAAACTGCAGGTCGCTGTCATCCGCATGCCTTTGCGTGCATCACAGCAGCGCAATGGCCAAGAGAGCAGGCCTGCATCAGGGGAGGACATCACCACGCGTTTTCATCTGCAAGCACCAACAGCATTGTAATTGCAACATTTGCATACATCTGCATGAGGTTTGACGTTGTAGTTGGCGTAAGATGGGAAAAGGCACTAGTGACATTGCTTGAAGCCACTGTACTGCTCGTGCTAGAATGTGCAGTGAGCAGGGGGAGCTCGATGGGAATGAGTAACTGTGTGAGGATGAGCTACTCTAAAGTGACGAGATCTTGCACGCCTTCCTGGACAATCGTGGAATGTGAACCCAGGCTTTGTATAGCATAGAGTTCCTTGATATGTTGAATGACAGATCCAGAAGCATGGGCAGGGTACTTGTTGCTCACAGTAAGGTCACTGCCAAAACTTGCACTGCTCGAGCTTGTTGACACAAAGACGTCACAATATGAAATGTGAGAGCACATCAATGAAAGCACATGTATTCAAGAGCTACAACATGAACTTGAGCTCTCCCAGGTACGAGTTTGGTGGTGCAGAGCTTCTATGCACCCAAGAGGCACGAAAAATCTCCAGCTTTGAGAATAGATGTGTTCCCATCACAGCATCATTCTAACAAAATTTATAATCGTACTTCGTAATGGCTGTCCACGTATAAGTCAGCTCAAGTGCGAGTCAAGCCACAACCACTCTTTTGTGGCAATCCAATGTCCTCTCCCCACCTGAATCACCTCCGCTGTTAAAGTCGAGGGTCCTGCATACGAACTCCTCGACAGAGAGGAGCTCCTCTCCCTCTGGCCTCTAGCTGTCCTTGGTTGCCTTACAAGCCCTAGCCCAGTTCAAATCCTGTTGCAAGCAATGCCATCACCTGCACTGGCTTCCTCATCATCATATTCTTGTTGACGCCTAGCCTCGCACCATTGTGCACGTACCAAGATCACACCCGCTAGTCTTATTGGTGAGAACAGCGATTTTACTTGCATACAAGCACATTTCCTTGCCATTCGCTCTGTCTCAGGGCACATGTGAGGCACAGAGATGAGCCCAGTCCTGTCACTAAGCTGCATGGTGCTTGGTCGAGTGAACCTCCTTTGACGAGCTTCGAGCCATTGTATACAATCTCCACAGCAGTCAATGGGCCTGAAGCTGAAAGCATCTACAGATTGCAATGGGCATCTTGAGGCACACGCAACAAAATGTGCTTGCAGCTGTTGTCTCTTGGCTGATATATTTGACATGTGTAAGGCAATGTAGGTGAAACAAGAAACCAGAGTCTGGAACAAGTCCTTGGGAGTGTGATGGATCGCTGGTGGGTGCCGAGGGGAGGAGTAAAAGAACATCATCATGAACAGCAAGTACTACTGGCATGAACAGCAGCAAGGACCTGCTGCCCTTGCTGTTCTATGTATTCTGCGAGTTATTGTTGGCACAACTAATGCTGAAGGAAGTTGTGATGCAGGCTTCCAGTCGGTCAGAAAATTTCCTGGAATGTACAGACAGCCATCTATAACAAGCACCATTAAGATTGTCAAAAGCATGTACTCGCAGCAGTCTATTGACCTCATTGCATGTATGCTGTTGGACCCCTGGCTTTGAGAAGAAAAGGTGGGGTGTGCCAAATGACAGCCAGGGAGCAATTCCAATCTCAACACTGGAGAGTAAAATTCTGCAATCACACTGAGTGATGGTAAATCTGCCTTTTCCCTGGATACACCAAGTGCCACTGAACTTGGCTGTCGTCACAGATAAGACTACAGTATCACACACCCTGACCTCGCCATTGAATGCCCTGTCAGTAAGAACTTACCACGCCCACTGTTCTATGCACCATTGGATTATGTTCCCATTGACATAGTTAGCTCAGAATATAGCTATACTGTTGGAGTGCCTGTCACTCAAAAACTTCCCTGGGTGCCGACAATGGACACTGTCAAGACTGTCGTGCATTTGTACTCACAGTGTCAACGTCCTCAATGCACACGTGCTGCTTAACACCAGGAAAAAGAGCACACTGAATAGCAGCCAGAGAGCAATCACACTTTTGATAGTGACAACTACACCTGCTCCTCCATCTGCGAGCACATCAGATAATGGTGAGTCTGTCTTTTCTCTGAGAACGTTGGACACTGCCAGATCTTACTGCGTTCATAAATAAGATCACAGTTGTATGCATCCTAGTTCAGCTGCTGAATATGCCACAGGTGTCCTCTTACTTCACGACCAAGCACCTGAAGACAGCAACTGCACTCTCCACCATGCTGAATGTTATCAGTACCATTTCCACACTGGGTGCCATTCTGCCGAGGCAGTTTGTGCACTCCTTAGCAAGTAAAACCTTGCAAGCAACCATACTCACCACTCTTCAAGGTTTACCACCTCTATCCTATGTCTCTTACAACAAATGGAGTTGAAAGAGCCAATGGCATTGCAAGCACTGGGATGGATAGGGAGAATAGAGAACACGGGCAGAATAAGTGAACAAGCACCACAAACTAGGTGTTGAGCTAGATGAAGCATTTTGCAAGCCTCGGGAAAAGATGCAAAGCTTGCTGGCGCTCTCAGGCAGAACCACGAGACTGCACACCAAGACCAACGAGGTGGGCACACTGAAGGTGCGGTGACCCAGAAAGTCCTTGTGCTCATTCCAATAAAGATTGAGTCTATGGTGAATGCGCCATTGGCCTGATTCCTTCAACATACACCGAGATCCCAACGTCTTGTCCTTTTCACTCACTTTAAAACATACTCTACTCCGCCATTTGACCACAAATAGTCCATTTATTTTTCCACGTGCATTCGCACAAAAACTTCATAGCAGCACCAAAATTGAAGCACCCAGGTAGATGAGCATCTGTTGATCAGCGATAGCATTACCAAGCTCGAAGATGAGTCCACATTGGGAGACTGCCTAGTTGCCACGAGCTGGTGCCTGTTGAGCAGCTTGCTTCAGGCTAAGAGCATTGTGAGCAGTGGCAATGAGTTCAAGGGCCACAATGATAGTGGTGGCGATCACACTGGGGTGCTGTGCTTTGACGAGCTGCACGAGGTGTAAGTAAAGCCATGGTCTCATACACCTGGATTTAGCTGTTGAGCAGCTCCACAGTCTCTATCTCTTCTGACAGCCAAGCGCATGCAGACAATGGTCACGATGCCACCATTATCTTCACTACCAGTTCCATTTCCACAGGCTTGCACACTACTATGTCAGCCAGTGCAGGTCACACCTTCCTTGCATAAGACTGCTCAGAGATCCAATCGCTTGCCACTCAAGGCCTGCACTCAGTGTCTGCGACAAACAGAAAGTGAGCTGCTAGTACTCCAAGCATTGGGATGGGCAAAGACGAGGATAGGTGGGAGGTGGGCAAGCACATGACTCAAAAGCTGAGTGTGAAGCAAAAGCTGCAGGGAGAAGGACGAGCCTGTTGTCGCCCAAGGAAGGCACAGTACCGGATCGCTTTCTCCTGCTCATCCCCGACGAAAGCCAACCCTGCTCCAAATGTGTTGCCGCTGCTACCTCACTGCTGCTGCCCTCGGGTTTGCTCCACCTGCTAGCAAAGATGGTTGCATCTGTGCTGCACCAATTCATAGTGACGTTGCAGAGCGAGTTGTGCCTTGAGGCTGGAGGTCAGGTCAAAGTGCGTATTGCGGCCTTCGACAACTGGTGGACAGACAGACTGAACAGCAAGATAGGTCTCTTTGTGACAATGTACATCAACATCATCGACATTCTGCCTCGTTGCTTATTCCAAGTCACACTTGCATCTATGCCTGACACTCACCACAAACAACTCCCAGCTGCTGTTTGCGTGTCATCTATGCCTTCGCACGATGGTCTATCATGCATGAATAGTATTTCGATAGGACCAGATGTCTAGATGAGGAGTACAAGACACTGCGAGTGGTGCCTCTGGTGCTGCGCTTGCCCTTCGACTTTGAAGCACTTGCAGCTGCCTCCATGTCATTAGACACCCATAGACGTTGCACCACCGATCTTCTAGCAAATTAGTGAAGAGACCCGGCTCAGCACCTTCATCACAGAGCACACTAACAAACATCGGGCCTGCATCAGCAAAAAAATAGGTTGTAGGTCAGCGATGGGTTGTTATGCAAGTGCTTCAGCCTTTGCTGTAGCAATAATGCATAATGTTATGGATTGGAGCATGAACTGTGATGCATATCAGCGGCGATATTAATGCATATTGTACCGGAAATTCATGGGATATTACTCTACAGGCTCCGGCATCTTGGCACCAAGGATTAAATCTATGGCTTCCATTTCAGGAGGCTTCCAGCTTATGTAAAATAGTGCGGGACCCCAATTATCATTCAGGCACTCACATGAAGTCTGCCACATGCTCAATGTAGTTGAAAGTAACTGTATTGGATATCATCTACCTCCATGAATGCAATGATGGCTTCACTCTCATCTAATTCCTGAACACCCTTGTCGTCACTATCAATGTCGTCCGCATTGTTGCCCTCATCATCATCATCGTCATCATCAAAAGCAGGAGCACCAGTTATACTGGTTGCTGGTAAGACGAGACTGCTCAGTGCAACACTTGCTAACCTGCCTCAAATTGCAATTGATATCATGTCATTTGCGTCTGTGATATCCTCCTTTATCACCGCCACTGTGGATTTTGCCACCTTCACCCAGAGCACGCTGACTTGCTGTGCAAGGCCCTGTCAAATGGCTGCCTGCCTTGCTGCGTAGGCAATAAGACCCTCTCGAAGAGCCAGATCAACATCTGTGTGCAGGGCTGCCTGGCTGACCCACCATTTAGCCTTGAAAACGTGAGTTTTGATGGTCCACCGTATCTCTTCAGGTAGTAGCAAAAGTTCCTCATGCCACTGTAAGAACCTAGCTCGAGCTTTCAACCACTCGACGCAGACACCTGTATATAGTCGATTATCAATACATAGAACTGTAGAGGCTACACAGTAACTTACTGGAGTTTAGCTCGTCATCGGCATCGGTGCCGCACCAGGTCCACGAGATCTTCTTCGAGCCCTCTGTCACCTTTTTACCCTTCTTCATCTTCATCTTCTTGCGGGCTGTGTCAGGATTGTCTGCCTCCAAAGACTGAACATCTTCATCCTTCAGTTCTGGGAAGCACCAATTATATTCTGCCATCCAAACAGTGTCTGTGGTAACCAGTGACCATAAGGCCCCTTGTGCCGCCCTATACTTCCTGACTGAACATCGTATGTGACACTCTATATTTCCCAGAGTGTTGTTCACCTTCGTGTTCAGTCCCTGACCACAGACATAGAGGTGCTTGTAATTGCGGAGCCGGATGCGCATGCTGAGCTTTGTTCGCAGATCTTCAGTTGCACTATGACACTGCAATTGATAGAGCCGCAGCTCAGCATCGACTAGACCCTCTGCAAAACCCATAACGAGCCTTTCGTGTCAGGCGTCCCATGTTGACATGTTTTCTGTGTGCCCATTGTTGAATTCAACTCCTAGAACTTCCAATGGAAGCAACAATAGTGCATGCTCCGCAAGCTGGACATCCGACCTGCTGTGGCTGCTCTGTTCCAGCAGCGTCAAAAGCAGTCTTGGTGCAACCAGCATGTAAACAGCTTGGATCTCTCGGTATCGGGCGATGCGACGGCTGAGGGCAGTCCGACTCTCAAATATCTTAGCTGTGGTTGAAGACTGTTTGTGGGCGGTGTCCTCCTGCAAAACTTGTATGCAGAATATAGCATGTTAGTTCAACTCTTTGTATCCAATTGGATTACAACGCACTGTTGTTCTTCCAGTTCCAGCTCTCTATAAAGGAACGACATGAGTGACACATCATGAAGTGATGTCTTTCTACTGGCTCGAAGGCTCTTCTCCTTTTCGAGATCCAACTGCTGCCGCACTTCTGCCTTGGTCAGTTCCACGCCCGGCCCCCGCATGAGATGTTGTGCATGAGTTACACAATCAAAACACGTACCATCGTGCAGCTTGATATATGGGTCTGGACTGTCGTGGAAGTCCTTTTCCCACACAAGCACCAACTGCTCCCACTTCGCCCTCATGGTGGGGTCCAAAGAGCCAGATAGAGCCTCAAACTCTTCAGCTTGCTCTCTTGCTTGCTTGCAGGCAACAAGATACTTTTTACATAACAATGAACCTATGTCAACAGTTAGAATTCTTCGCCCATTCATTGAGGATGTACGCACCAAGCCCAAGAAGCTTAACCCAGTTTGTGAAGCTCCAATTGTCATTTAATGAGCCTTGGCGCTCACTAGGCCCCAGCATTTGTGTGCTGCTTGCCAATGGCTGTATGTCCCACCAGCACCACTCGATGCCCTCACCATCGGTTCGTGCTGCTCCTGAGATGTAATTGAGGGAGTAGCATGAGTGGCCGTCAGGTTTGTGGCCATGCCAGTGCAGCTTCCCTATAGCGTAGAGTAGCTCAGTTTTGAAGTCCACAAGTTGTGTCCGGAAATTGTTGGGGTATTCGTCCATGCATTGCTCTGCGTGCACAATCCATTGACAGATGATATCATACATCGTCATGATCTGGAGTCCACGTGTATGGTGTCACGTGTTGAAGTTGATTAGGTCCATGTTAATGTACCTAGTCATAGACATTATCAGTTACAGCCTCTCAAAAGAAATTGAGACATACCTTTCTCTTTTTTGAGGATTGCCCACTTCAATTGGGAGCATAAACTCATGGCGACTGTTGATACAAGTGCCAATGCCCGTCACAGCATAACCGTTTTGAAAACTTCATGTCAGCATGATCGAGCACGGCAAAGCCGGTACAAGTTGATATCTATCAACACAGCTCAGTTATGCATAATGTGATTTGGAGTATTGAACTTACTAGTTTCTGTGCCTTGTATCTCTTGATCAATTTCATGTACGGCATGTTTGCGACAAAGTATGTGAGGCCGTTGTCAATAATGGGATCCTTTTGTTTGTCCAAGATGGCATAACGCTTCAAGTGGAAGCACATGTCGAGAGATACAAACTTAGTGTACAAGAATCTAGCAGGGCGGTGAGTATAATTGCAGGTCAAGGGCATAAGAAACACACTTTTTGCTATCTTTGACGGTGTCCCAGCTATCCGGAAGGTTGACGCCAGGTGTTGGACAGGCAGGACACTCAACCGCAAGCTTGCCTTTGGCTGTTCCCACTGACCCTGTTGGATTGTGTCCCCAACCTGCTCTCTTCAGCATTTTGAGATGCCACCATTCATGAACCATTTGAAAGATTGCCTTCTTCCTATAAATGGTGCCCTACGATCGGAGGATTTGGAGCAGTCATGTAGCTCACCATGAACGCTCAGTGGAAGGTGGTGCACAATGGCGCGTGATGTGATAGCATTCACGTAATCGCGTTTGATGCCAGTGTGGCTCTTCTTCATCTCTGCGGCTGCGTCTCCGTGCTCACCTTAGCAGGAGACCCTGTAGCTTTGTATATTGGGGCTCAGGACTCAGCTTCAGAGTTGCTATCTGGTCATCTCCCTTGATTTTACGACACAGAATGGTCTGCCACTCGCAGATACAGGTTGACATCGGGAACAACAGTACTCCAAGCAAGAAGCGACGAAAGCTCAAGAAGCTGGAAGAGAACGTGAACACCGCTTATGCCTCACAGTATGCAATGGAGACCTTCCAACCATGGTATGCGGAGCTCTGTTGGCATGACAGAAACATCATCATTGCCGCAGACCAGATGTCCTTCAAGTTGCACACCAGCATGCTTGAACAGCACTCAAGCGTCTTCAGCAAGCTGCTGGATGATACACAGGCCCGTCATAATTCTCCAGAACTTTTTGAAGGCTGCCGAATACTGCGTGTTGATGACAAGGGTGTGTATTTAGCTGAGTTTTTCTGGATTTTGTATGATGGTGGTGGGTGCGTACTCAAGCCTTCAAACATCATCTACTGTGCTCATCCGGCCTCTCGCAGAGGCTTCTTCGACTGGAGAAAGCCCATTGAAGTTACAGACTTACGACGAATCACACTTATTGCCATCAAGTACAAGGTTCAGCACATTATTGATGAAGCCGTCATTTGTCTGGAATACTTCTTCCCAACCTCTTTCAAGCCCGACCATTTCAACTCTGATTTCTACATAGGCGTTCATGAAGGGCATCTGGTGCATTGTCCTGAAGCTGCTGATGCTATTGGTGTTGCAGCACTAGTCAGAGCGATTGACCATGAGAATCCTCCTCTGTTTATCGTCATGGCCTTGTACCGTTGTACCAGTTTTGACGTGAAGACTCTCCTCAATTTACAATCTTATGATGAGGAGCTGGCTTCTGTTGATCTCTCTTCATGCCTCGGCGCCATCACCAGTCTGGAGACAACCATCTGGAAAGTCAGAGGCCCAGTTGCTGATGCTTTGGACAAGCCAATGTGCAGCAGCAAGGTTTGCCATAGCAGCATTGAAAAGCCTCATATGCGAATGGATCCGGATTGGCATGTTTTTGGGTCCTTACTCCCTCAGCTCGTGCGAACAAGAATTCTGGGTGCATGCAGAGAAACACCCCAACAAGAAGGTATGCAAGAGTTGCAAGGAAGGTTTGCTTAAGGCCATCAATGAGCGGCATCGTGAACTTTTTGCTGGCCTGGGAAGGATATTTGATATTTCCACTTGGCCTGCTGGCACCCATGCCCAAACTTGAGTGTTCTCGTACATCTCACTTATGCTATGACACTTGCCCTGCTAAAGACACTAATCAAACAGAGACTATCTCACATGGGGTTCAGTAGGGCTCCGTGGCATAGCAGACCATTTCCGGTCATAGTCGCTATTACAAAGCTTGTCCTGCAGAGGCTTTAAGTAATCAATAATCTTTCTTTTTTTTCTTTTCCTCTTCGTATTCTACCTACTTCCCCTCCCTCTCTTTTCTTCTAATCCTTTTCATTTTTCTCCGTTTGTTTACCCAGACCATAATGCAGAACCACACACAATCCTGTAGTATGACCCATGGTGGATGGGGCAAGATATCTTTTGCAGAAGACATATGAAACTTTGTACAGCTGTCGATGATCATTACTGTTCATACAAAAGACAATCATTAGCACATACAGCAAATCCTGGTTTTTCTCTATTTCCCTTGAGCTGTCATAGCCTCCGAACAAGATTCACAAAATGACCCAGGGAGCAAGGATGAGGACGGGGACAAGGAAGAGGGTGAGGATAGATGAAAGGAATCAGCCATCTGTTGACAGTACGGCATTTTTCCGCATCGATACTCAGACAATGCGTACTCGCCAAGCGAGATGTTTCAGTGGCTGGGGAAATAATAGGACGGCGACATCTTGCGGTGCCACGATGTGCAAACATGATTGCCCATGATAGCTGAGCGGCATCGCATTTATGCATCGATACTTCGTGAGATATCCACGAGAGGTGTTTGCAACCAATGCAAAGCACCTGCCAGTGGCGAGTAGAGCCGCATTGGGCACAGTCTCATAAATCTTCCTTCCGACATCCACGTCCTGTCCCTAGCGTTAATTTCTCTCCCTCTCCCCAGATAAGTCTCAGTCGCGCCTCTGAGCCACCAGTAAACAATCGTGACATCCTCACATCGTCCTCACCATCTCCAGACTCCATGTCCCTCCCATCGCGCCCGCACACTCGCGGCCAGCGCACGACAGCTTGCACCACAACCTCTATCGCCATCACCAATGTCGTTTGCGCCCGTAGCACTCGCGACGTCCCACCGCGTGGCTGTTCCTTCCTGCGTACGCTGTGCCAGAGTTCACATCTTCGTGTTGCAACGCAAGAGCGCGTGACGCGCGACGAGTGACTCGCGCTGTCAAGTCGGCCACTTCAGACCCTGGCCTGTTGTTGGCGCGTACGCGAACGGCCTTGGAAGAGCTCGTCGAGCTGGTAGCAAGGACAAACATCGTGCGAGGGATGGGCGGCGGGGGCGTGACAGGTGCAAGAAGTGACGTGAGAGTTGGTACGAGAATCTGTGACTCGGAAGCTGAAACGAGCCTACCCATTGATCATCTGTTGGATTTACATTATGTTTACAAGCGAAAGACGACCGTCATGTTGGTAGCACTTTAAATACAGAAACAAACCCCCCCCCCTCCCCCCAAATTTTCGGCGTACGTCATAAGCGTGTGGAATGCACCGATTTCAACCTCTGCCATATCCGTCGTGTCAATGTAATCTACATGGGTAATACATTCCGCCAAGCGGTTCAACTTTGACGGGAATAAGCCCATAACGCGGGTTATCCTGCCAAGGGTATGACAAAGCAGATCGCGTGTTGAAGCTCATCACGATGTATTAGTCCGCTTGAACGAACTCGACGTCGTCCTCTGCTGCCCGGTATCTGACGTTCCCTGCACGACAACGTCGCCCAGTCCAAGGAACTGATCAAAAATGTAGTCGTCCTTGCCGTACGCGTTAGCACCATCGCCAGCCTCGGTGACCATTTTGTCGAACAGCTTCAAGAGCACCTTGTGACTGTCCAGCACACGCCTCGGCTTAGCCACCTCCGCCGCCTGCGGTCTTTGCTCCTGCTCGCGCGCTCGCACCGCCGGCAGCGGCTCGCCGTCATCGCCGTCGAGGTTCACAGAAAACTTGCGGACGATGGATGATACCGCGCGGTGCCCAAACTGCTGCGTCTCATTCGGATCGAATGGTGGCTTCACATAGTGCGGCTTGAGCGCCTCGAAGTCGACCGCGCGATAGTGTTCCTGCAAGAGTGCGTACGCATCACTGAGGAACCGTGCCAGAATTGAGTCCTCGTTCCGTAAGATGATCGGTGGTTTACCGTTCTCGATAAGCAATAGCTTTTGCCGGCCGCCGGTGTAGCGACCGTCGGCACCGCGCAGCTGCTGGTAGAAGATGCTCCTGACCTCTTCAGCAAGCCCCTTGTTCGCGTAGTTGGCACCCCTGATGTTCTTTGGCGTGCGCTCCATGCCATCGAGTCTCGACGAGCAGAAGTGCTGGTGGAAACGGTAGGCCATTATGAGGATGACGTAGATGAAAGACTCTAGATCATCTGCGACCTCTGGTGGCTTAGTGGGATGCGTCAAAGTAAGGGCAGATAGATAAGGCCAAGTGCCCTAACAAGACGAGCAGGCAGTCAGCAAGCTGACTCGTGGACGAAGGCATTGTCTGGTACTTACCGAGACGCCAGCCTTCTCTCGAGCCCGGTTCCCGAAGTCTTCTTTGTACTTGCACAAATCCCAGTCATTCAAAAAGGCTTCGTTGTCGCGTACATTTATCATAATGTTATTCGCACTGACGTCCCGGTGGAGAATGTTTGCCTTATTCCAGGCCTCCATATGAGCTAGGATCATGCGTCAGCTGCAGATTCGCAAGGTGCTGATGACATACACACCTATCAGTGCATATATGCACGCTTCGAAAAGTTGGACAGTGCCTGCGTATGTCTCGAGGGGCCTCCCGACCTCTTCGACGACGATACGTGTGTGGATGCGCATGAGCGCTGGTTGCTTCGACGGCGGCGCCAGGTACCTCTGTGTCTTCGTGTACTGGGGACTCCGCAGCATGCCGCAAACATCGCCGCCAGCGATCGGCGTTGCTATACACCGCACGCCGTTCTTGTGTAGACGCGTGTAGACATCGAGCTCGCTGCGCCGGACGCTCGAGCGCCACTGGTCCTTCAGGAAGCAGAAGTCCTTTTTCCAGAGATCAAACGCGATGTAGCCGCGTGTGCAACGACCCACTGGCACACCATGCCCTGCGATGAGCTTGCTAATGAGGAATGCTCTCTCGGAAGGCCCCTTCTTGTCTTCCTTCGGTTTTATGTTATCGCGCTCTTTCGGTTTTGTAAAATGAACCGCAGGACATGTAACCTGAACGAAATATTATTAGGTTTATCCTGCGTTCACGCGGAAACACACCTTGTAGATGGGATAGAACCGCGTGTTATCTAACATATCGCTGCGTGCCCTCATGAGGTCGACGTTCCGAGAGGTATAGGATCTGAGCAGCTGGATGTCCTCCTCAGACGCCTTGGTGACAGTCTCGTCGTAGCCCGACCATTTGTCTGGGATGTTTCCGAGGCAGTAGAGCAGGTCATAGAAGTCGTCGGGGTCGTCGACGAGGTTGACGGCATCGGTCATGACACAACCGGCTTGGTCCCAGCGGAAAGCGCGAACCCACTCGCCCGAGATGTAGAAACTTATGACGTGCAGCCGGTGCTGACGGTGCATGATTTGCGCCGCGTACTTGGCGTGCTGTGCTCGCGCTTTGTTCCCCTTGTCCGAGTTGTGGAAGTCCCCGGCTGCCGAGCGGGGTATGATCTTCTCTTCCTGCGCCGCGGCGGGGGGCGGCATCTCAACAGCCTCTTCTAGAGGTGCGGCTGCAGGAGCAGCACTATCGGCGTCGACGGGCTGCAAGTTTTGGCGTCCGTAGGTCTCGCTTTTGGCAGAAGCTCGTGTCAGAGGTCTGCTTGGCTGTCGCACACCGGCGGCCGTCTTGGCCTTCTGGGGAATGATCACTACGGCCTGAGATGTCGTCCGTCTGCCGTCCCATTTCCCGGGACCAGCTTTCGCCTGAGGCTCTTCGTGCGTCTCCCCCGCACCTCGAGTGTTCGTCACCTTCTGTCTTTTGTTCGCTCGGGGTTGGCTACGAGGCTTGAAGGAGAAGCCTGCTTCGGTGTCGTCCGCTTTGACCTCGACGGGTGCAATCATGTATGCCCACGCACAGCGCGCAGCGTCGGGGTTCTTCTTTAGGTCGCTATGCTGCAGCAGATAGGCATTCTGAGCCTCTGGATCATCATCGCCGGGGTACAGTGCGATGTCGGGCTTGCTGTCGAAAGCGCCGCTCTCGCAATGGTTGGCAGTAACATAAAATCTTGCCTTCGTGCTGGTCATGCTGAGGACAGAGTTGAAAGTTCTATGCTATTCCATGAAAGGTCACAAGATAGCTTACTATGAACGAAGGTAGGACGCACAATAATTAGATACATCGGGCCCTCAGCTCTCCGACCGGGCTTGGGTTTGGGGCTGTCAGTGACCGCCAACGTTTTGCCCTTTTGCACGCTACCGCCGCCGCCGAACTCTTCCCCCAACGCGTCCCCGACGTGGCTGACGGAATCGTCGTCGTCCTCATGCGGTGAATCGCGTATGTCTGCGGGGGCCGCGGCACTACCACTCTCCTCGGTACGCCCTCCACCCATACGAGATGACCCAACAGCGGGCGTTCCATCCAACGGTGTTCCCGGTTTCGCTACCACAGCCTGCTCGACAGCCTTGATCTTCTCGCGGTTAGCCGCAGGTCGCGGGACGGCGCTGCGGAGTGGCTCAATGCTGACAATTCGCGCCCTCTGCGCTGCAGTGAGGCAAGACCCCGGGACAAAATTCTTTCGGAACTGCTTCATCGTCAGCAGAACGTACTGCAGGTCCATGATTGCGTTGATCTGCTCCTCGTAGGCCTCTCCCTTGAACAGGTTCTTATTTGGTAGAATGAGCGGACGGGGAGGGCCGCAGTTTCTCTCCGTGTTCTGGGAGCACGGATCCACTTTTCCTTTCTCGTTGTGGATAACGCCGCTGTATTTTTGAAAATAAATAAGCCCGTCGCGTTCGAGGGTTTCAATCTGACTGCGACGGGCTGGATCTGATTCAAGCAGCTCGTTGTGGTCGGAAAACGGTGGTAGAACAGGGACAAGCCCGTCGTCGTCCAAGTCCCCTGGACCAAGCTCGGTGGAAATCTCTGGGGTAAGGTGAAGCTCCATGGCAAGGTACGGGGGTCAAGGGCACGCACGAGCTCAGCGTTTCCGATTCCCCTCTTTGGAATCGGCTTACCACATCATCGCCAGATACTACTGTAGCGATATGACCAAAAGATCAGGTCACGGTCACCGGGCCTCTGAACAGGCCGGGGTTGAACTGGTGGTCACGGTCACGATAAGCTGATGAACCGGTTGCGAATTAGCGTGACTCGGGCGCTTTTCAATATATTCGGTATTTTTCCCCCGAATTTTGATTGTCGCACAAGGTCAATGTTGTCTTCGGAGCACACGATTAGCCCATGAACTACTCAACTAGAACTACATATGTCGCAAGAATTATCCTCCCCCTCGTCAGTTTCGTGTGCACGGTCCGTGTTATCAGGCCAGTCATCACCTAGGACGGCCTTGGCAAGGGCAACCAACGTGTCATCCACTGCACGAGGATATCCAGGGGGAGGTACACTGTTAGAACGTGCTCCTTGGCAATATACATGGGGTAATGCTCGCATCGGGGCAATAGTCCCGGCAGTCACAGATATCCGAATATACCGCTTCGTCCTCGCGCGTGCGAAGGTGCGAGAGTTGATCTGCAAGACGGGTCAGAGACTGCAGGACCAGGAGGACACGCGTCCGCCACTTACATGCACCTAGATGACCTCGTTCGCGTCCAGCTACTCAAAACTTTCTATTAGCTGAACGTCTCGTATCCGAGGTGCTGCTCCATGAAGCTCAGAAACACCTGAAAATCCATCAGGGGCGGCACTTGTACGAAGGAGGTGGCGAGGAAGACGTAGGCGAGGGATCACTCGAGATGATGGTTCGTGAGGCGCGAGATCGCCTTGCAACACCTGTTACGGGCATTTCAGCATCCGAGACAGCCCTCGGAGAGGAGAGTGGAGAGGACTCACCAGTCATATCCGATGGCGATGATCTTCTCAAGCTTCTCGGCATCCAAGACATCGCCGATGTCTTTCGATATTAGGTTCGGGACGTACGCCGCAGGGTCGATGGACTTGTTGGCCCCGCCATACCCGAGCGTGCCCAAGGCAAGCACGCCGTAACTCTTGTCGTTCAAGCGAGACAAATGTGGCGCCAGTCGTGAGACGTGGATGGAGAGCCACGGCAGAACAATAGGATCGGCTTGGAGGACTGGGGAGGGGAAGTGCAGTAGCGGTATGCCAGGCCGCGAGAGGTGACAAGGTCCTTGTACAGCGATGCATCCATGAGATGATGATATCGATGGTAGGGAGAGAGTAGTGAACTAGCCTGCGTATTTATGCGGCGTAAAGGCCGGCAATGAGACGATTTCGGACCAGCCGAGACTTGGCCAGGAAATTCGCGGACAGGGAACCGGGATTTCTTTTCTTCTTTTCTGTGGAAAATGCAGGAAGAGGCTGCAGTCAGATACACCAACGCTCAGCGCGAGCAGCGATGCAGGGTTCAGAGCAGACTTACCGCCACTTCGGGGTCGCTGAGAAGAAAATCGCCATCCCACGGTCTGGTTAGAGTTTGAGCTGTCGGGCGCTCTGGCCAGGGTTCGCTTGATGGGCGCTCTTGAGGACGGCTTGCGGAGGGGCGAGGACGGTACCACCGCCGACGGTATCAACTTCGATACACGGCATTGAGGCGTCATAAGTAGGTCCTTGCCGCTATTCATTCTGCAGTGAGCGCGGGTAAGCGATGAATATTGGTACAGTTCGGGCTCTTGTACGACTGGCAAGGAACTAAGACGTGGACGCGATATCTATATAGAAGGCATCAGCTGCCACATCTCCCGTACGTACGGAGATCACTAACTTACCGGCCGACTGTCGTGGTAACGATGCCAGATCCACTTCTCAAGGCCGAGAGCAATCTCGTCCGCATGAGAGAGAATACACCAGTGGTCTGCGTTACACTTATTTATAGTCACGCTATGCTTGCTGAACACCTCCTGCGTAAAGGACGCGTAGCCGATCTTGAGAAGGCAGGCATAGTCGCGCTTCGCCGCGCCAAAATAGATTTGCGCATTGGCCGGCGGGAAATTTGCACTCTGCCGGTACCTCTGCAACAAACCACTTGCATCAGCCACAGCGAGTGAATATCTCCGCGGGAATTTGGAGGCGCACGCTGGTTGTCCTTGGCGGGCACCTGGCTCGTTGCGATCTTCGCCTAACATGTCGGCGCCGCAAAGCCGCTGCGCATGGACGTCTCCCCGCGTCTTCCTCGGACAGTTAAGCTGGCCGGAGTAAGGCGAAGTTGTCGAGCAGACTCTGCTCGAGCGCGCCCGTCGGAGCCAGGAGGTCTTTCCAAATCTCAGGGTTGTACGGAACATATGACGTTGCCGAACGAATCAATCTGCGGAGCGCGTCAGTGAATGCAAGATGGGACAGGCACGCGTCGACCACCTACCTGCGCCTGGATGACCGTGCTTTCGAGACCATGTTCGTGCCCATCACGTCGTCAATGCGTGCTGTGAAACGAATATACAGCGTGCGGCCGGCCATGGCACGCTTGACGCTTCAGAGTTCGGCGAAGCGAGAGGCCCTCGGGGCTCTCGATCCACCCGGATATTACGACCCAAAATGACCCAAGGCTAGTCCCACTATCCAGCCAAATTGTCACCAAACTTGGCAGCTTTGGGTGAAAATATCACGTGGTAGGTCAAAATTACCATCTACATCCGAGACCAGAGGGGATTGTCCTCCTACGCATCATCCGGATATGGGGTACCTTGGACCCGGGCTAGTCTACCTAGGGAATATCCGAGGGCCATATCTGCGCTAATAGCCAACCAATAGATAAGAAGCGCCAAGAAATGAGAACGAGCCGCAGAATGACAAGTAGCGTGGGGAGAGAGAGCAGTGGTAAAAACAAATGATGCGAGATGTCTCGCCAAGGCCTTGACATTAAGGGTGTCAGTTATGAATAAGAGGGGATGGGGCAGAAGGGAGAGACAAACCTAGTTATCGTCGTATTCGAAGCAGAGGTTGGCACAGGGGAACTGGGCACTGATGATCTCCCAGAGCCAGTACATCGGCGAACCGAACGTGATGTCGGAGGAATAGGTTAGACCGGTGCCACTGGTGAAGAGGGCAACGAACTTGCGAGGGCATCGACGATGATGGATCCAGAGTCCCCCCCCCTGGAGAACGGACCGGAGTCGTTGTCATAGGAATAGACTGCTGCTTCCACCGAATCGCGGCTGCTTGGGACGAAGTAGCGGCGGACATGAGACTCAAAACCATTGAAACAACCAATCGTGGCGAGCATGGTGAGGCCACGTTTAATAACGTATCGCATGGATTGCCCTTGTGGTCTCTGCTGCCTCGGGGCTCGAGGAGACGATCAACTGAATAAACAAAGTCGAATGGCGCACCGATGCGAGGGTACATCAGGCTGATGAACTTGCCGGCGTCGATCTCAGGGCCTGAGATATGAACAGTTAGAGTAGACGCCTTTAGCTAGACGGATCGGCACGCACCTGTGTCGAGCACGTTCCCCCTGAAGTTCTGCGAACACCTCTTCTCGTCGAGCTTGGTGACGCAAACATCCTTCGTATAACCGTGAGGAGTGGTAGAGACACTGACGGGCAGCCGGATTTGTTGTGCTCGCCGAACCAGGCTACGTACTTCTGTTCTGTATCGGGTGAGCACGGAAGGACAGGCACGACCAACAAGCCGATGTCGCGGTGACCAATAACGCGGCGCGCGCTGGTGCGCAACACAATGTGGAGGATTGCCGAGGGGCTGTGGGAGATATGTTGCTCTTGCCCTGCGACTTCCTGCGGGACCAGGCAACGACGCTCGCCCTTATCACCTCCTCTGCGGAAGACATCCCAGAGGTTACATGTCCGTTGGCAGCTGCAGAACTTGGAGACGGCGGAGTCCAGAGCGCGATAGTGGATGAAGATCTGACAGATGATGATAACCGGAACTCCACGAGGGCCAGGGACTCGTTGAGCTTAGCCGACTCCAGCGAGGGCCGACCCAGAAGGGACGTCGGACCCGCCGTATGCGATAGTGGGCACCTAGGAAGTGTGATGCTTGTGAGCTCAGGCCGCGAGACTACGTGTAACCAACGGGTGTCATCGGGCCACGGGCCACGGGCCGCGACGTGCTCAGCGTGTCCGGTTGCGAGCGGCTGTGAGCGAAATGTGCCCGTATAAGGTGGTCGGCGGCGTGCGCACTGATCAGCCATGGCCGCGGTGGTGATGACGCGGGCGAACTGTTGGGCGTTCCGGCCAGGATTCGCTTGATGAGCGCTCTTGAGACCAAGCACATCGAGGACGGCTTCTTGGGGAGCGGGAATGGTACCACCGCCGACGGTACCAACTTTGATGCACGGCATTGAGACGATAAGTAGATCTTCACCGCTGTTCGTTCTGCGGCGAGCGCAGGTAAGCGACGAATGTCGGTAAAGTCAGGCTCTTTACTCACGGTTCCACAACTGTCATGCAGTTAGAGCTCTCGACGTTCTGCGCAAGGTCGTGACCAGCCGCCAGGGAGATAGCGGTCAGAATATTGGCTGCATGGGCATTGAACCCTCCGACCGAGTCAGCCGTCGCACTACTGACGACGCTCTTCTTGGTATTCAGGTTGCACAGCACCTCGATGGTCGTCTTCAAGACAGTCTTGACGATCTTGCCGGGAATGATGGCCTCGGCGACGATGCTCTTGCTATGGCCTCCAATCCAATTGATCGCGGCGGGCTTCTTGTCTGTACAGTAGCTGCCCGAAAGCATGAGGACGACCACCTCCGGGAACTCCTTGCTCAAGAGCTCGAGTGCCTTCTCCGTCGCATGCGAGATCGTATTCGTACCCATCGCGTCGCCAGTGCGGGTCGTCGAACCGAACGCGCAACGTGTGACCGGCCATGGCACACTTGACGCTCTGGAGCGTAGCGAAGCGGGAGGGTAGACTCGAAGGCCTCCTTGGCAATGGCATGGCCCTCAGAGTTCTCGATCCATACGCGAGCGGCGGCGGCCTGCACATTGTTCGGGAGGTCGATGGCAGGTTCGCGGATCATGCCATCGTAGGTGACAATGGTAGTGTCACCTTCGCCGGAATTGAGCGCCTTGCATCCGTGCGAGGTCGAAGCAGCGAGTGCGCCCTCGGCGGTGGCCATGAGAACGGGATGCCTTTCGCCGTTGATCTTCAGAGGGCCAGCAATACCAAGTGAGATGCGCACGTAACCGATGATGTGGAGACATTCGACTGCTCAAGTGTCTTGGTCCTCGAAGCACGAGCTGTTGCTAGGTCACTACGAGTTATCTTTGAGTAATATAAATCTGCGTGCTTACAGATCAATGCACGACGGATCGTGATCACCCTGTCGAAATCTCCAAGCATCTCCTCAAGTGCGTGCGCGGCGATCTTGCCATTATGGACCAAAAGGATTACCTCTTCGTCCGTAAGCAGCAATAGGCTCGTAAATGCTGGGCGAGAACCGTCCTCGAATATGAAGATAATTTCGTCGAGCGGTCGGGTCAGGTCGGGTCGTTGCGAGCACGCTCGGCATAGGCTACAGCTTCGATAAGGAAATGCTCCCTCTCAAGCTTCGCGATGACAGTGATGAGATCAACTGGGATGCTGAGGATTGATAGCTTGTGCTCCTTGGCAGGACCGTCGAGAAG